TGTGTATTTGTTTGTGTGTGTGTGTGTGTGTGTGATACGAAACTGATATTAAGTATTTAAGGTTTGTATATGAGCTGGATATGACAGCAACTTTTTCGTTAAAATCGTCTAACCGGAAGTGCCACTTTATATGAACGCTGAAACACATTTTTACAATTTTCTCAAAAACGGCTCTAACGATTTTGATTAAACTAGGTGTATCATTGTATAATTAAGTGGTCTTTAATATCATTTAGGTCTTATCCCCGTTTATGTCACTTTACAGGACTTAAATGCCCATTGTTCATATATGTCTTCCTCTAAAGTACCTTTAATATGGTTTATTTTAAAAAGTTAACCATTTTGCATTATTCAGAGTTAGAAAAATATGCTACGTATAACTTTTGAAAGAATTTGATAAGTTAATAAAGGAGAAAAAAAATAAATGCAGAAAAATCTGCGTTGCTACAGACTGTATCGCCTAAACGAATGTAGCGATTTCAATGAAACTTCGCTAAAGTCATTTTCTCGACATCCTTTAAATTTATCTATATAACATACTTCAACGAAAAGAAGCTGGAAAAAAAGTTACGAGGGATGGTAAAATTAAATTCCGAATAACTCAAAAAGTATACACTTTTTTTGTGGATATTGTTTATGGTTTTTTAAAAGTTTATGGAATTTCCTAAAAAAAAAAAAAAAATGCGTTAAAATCGGCCAATTAGGAGGAAAGATATGGTATCTAGTTATTTCCCCTGAAGAGGCGAAAATTTGTATAAATTTAAAATATACTTTTTTAATTATTATTATTAAAAAACTTTTTTCCTACAGATATTTAATAAAGTATCTTACCTCAGAACATCTTTCATAAGAAATCAGTATCTAAATTTATACCGTTATTCTCAGTTCTATATTTCAACACTACAATCACCACCTCCGGAATCAACTTACTCACAGTCTGCATAGATAACTTTTTCAACTAAAAATATCACTAAATTGACATGACTGAAAAATGTTGAAATTGGAAATGTTGGTTTATAAAAGCAAAAAAAGTTGTGTGGTTTATAAAAGCAGATGGAGTGACTAGATTTTTATTGCCTACCGTCGATATATTAAATAAACATTTTGTAATTACAATGGTCTTAATGACTTGTTATCTGTAAGCTTTAAGCTTTAGCTCCGTTTAAAATGCACTTAAAATTTTATAATAGCCCAGCATTGCCAGAAAATAATTTCTATTCAAAGTAGAGCGGTAAGTGAAAGTTGTGTGTTGCGCACACCAGATTTTTTTTTTTCATTCACTCTTAGACCCACAGGCGGAGGAGGGGGAGGGGCTTTCGGACTGAAGCTTCCCTCACCCCAAAATGGTAAAATATAATCACGTTTCATGAAAAAAGTTATTTATAAAAGTATTATTGTTCGTCTTATTACATTTAATAGGACTTATAGAATAACATAAAAACCATTTCATGAATGAATGAATGAATTTTTTATTGAGTAATAACAAACAACAAAAGTATCCAAGCTCAATAAAAATATTTACGGCTTGGTCCTTGAAACCGTTAGCCGGAGGCTGGCCTTGGCAAAACAAGTATTATTGATACAATAATATAAACTAAAACCTACTATGTTAATAAATATAATGTAAATGCCAATAAATACAGATACAAAATATATCAAATCTTAATATCACAATTATAAATACACAAAAACGTTTTAATATATAAATACATACAAATTTTTAATATAGATATTTTAATATAATTACATAAATAATTTTTTTGGCTTAAAAATTATTTATCAATTAATAATTAAATTCTTGGCATAAGGCATATCTGTATTTCCAGGCTGCTTTACAATAATTGGATAGATGCAACCAATTTATTCCGTTCAAATGTGCAATTATTTCCCCAAATGCCATGCTATCTTTCCAAAATATTTTCTCCTAAGTTCCGTTAGAACAGGACATACACCAAGGAAATGCACGATATTTTCTATTTCATTCATATTGCATAATGAACATGATTTATTATTTGTTTCGTAATATACCCTACAGTTTAATTTTATTAGTTCTCCTCTGGCTTTAAATATCCTTTTTTATTATTGTTTCATTGTATTTCTTATTGAAATAATCCTTTTCCGATATATCATGATTCAAGTCTTTGTATATATTAGTTCTATTTGAATTTTTTGCTAGGGTTTTGGACCTATTTTCTAATTCTATTGTCAGTTTATTTATTTTTTTGTTGGCGCTACAGACCATGAAGATCTTTGACTGCGAGTGTGGTCTCCTAGACCACATCCCAATTCCCAATTTAAAGTACGGGGTCTCATACCAGACTGAAATGACATGAAACTGCTCGACGTTTCAGACTACTTCAGCACTTACTAGACAAACGCTCTAAACCTCCAATTAATTACAAAACTCATATACATTACTTTTATAAGGCCTATTTGGACTTACGAAGTTGAGATTTGGGGCTCCACTAAACCATCGAATTTCTCTCTTATCCAATATCCTCAATCCTCCCAACTTTTTTACAAATAAAATCACCCATAATGACCTTAATGTTTCTTATGTTTCAGATCTGGCCCAATCCAGATACCTATCCTTCCATAATAAACTTCAGAATCATCCCAATCCTTTCGTTTCTAACCTTGCTTCCTCTCCAATTCCTGATAACCCTCTGAGGCATCTGAAAAGAAGATGACCCCGTCATCTCTTAATGTAGACATATCATTAGAGTGCTACCATTGGGTAGTTACTCAACAAGTGTTTTCATGTCATTATATCCATATGTTCAAATTTACTAAATCTATTTCTTTAAAACAGTTGTAAATATCATTAAGAAAAAAAAAAAAGTACGGGGTAGGGTCATCAATCCTACACCCGGTCAGTATGAGTTGCCTCCAGTAGACTGATGGGGCTTACATGCCCAGAGGAGAGGGGGGAATCTCGGGCAGCGTGGCTTTCCTTGGTGGACGGTCACCTAGCCAAGTGCTCAACCACGCTCGGCGTTGCTTAACTTTGATTACCTATTGGGTCTGGTAAATTAGCCGGGTGGGACGAAACCTCCCTTGTTATCTAACGTTGTCACATAACCTTCCTCTTCTTATCTCGCCAAACCTTTCAGTTATTACATTGTTTATTTTTCAGTTATTACATTCAGTTATTCACTTATTACATTCAGCTATTAAATTCTTTATTTTTGGCTCGTTTGCATTATTTTCGTCAAATTATGGATCTTGTTACATTCTGGGGATTACCGTCTTCAGAAGAACAGGCTACTGAATATTTTCAAAACGTTGGCATAATTGCAAACTTGAAATTTTGTGAACAAGGTCATCAAATAAAGTTAGACAGGGACGCAAAATGGACATGTTGTCGTAGCACTAGTAACATAAAAGTTTCAATGAGGAAAGGAACGTGGGGTCGAGGATTTCCTTTTTAACAGCTTTAAAATTTATTTATGGGTGGTCCCATAATTTAACAACGATAAAGTGGGGTAAATGGAAATCACATTTCCTACGTATATATATTTATCATACATATATATATTAATTTAATATATATGTCGTAAAATAAAAGTATTTTTTAATTACCACATTTGTTTTTGTTTACAATTTCAATAATACGAATATAATACAATAAATGTGAATATGAAGATAGGAATTACGAGAAGGCTTATCAGTGCCTTACCAGAATTATCAGTATTCAGGTTATTAACATTGGCATACAGCTGTCCGTCCCACCCAGCTAATGGATAAGTACCACCTATTGCATGGTCGGTACTATATTTGTTATTATATTTATTATTAAGCATTCATTACATTATCAGCTTTTACTTTTTCAGTATATTAGTTCATTAGTTTATAACCCATTACTGAGTCAACCTTTATATCAGTTTTAACAAATTACTGTAATTGTCAGGCCAACTTAGAACTTGTGGACGAAATATGAATAATTGAGTATAATGAATCATTTAAGCAAACATTAATTGTTAGTTCCATGATTTATTATTTATTCAATATGTATTTTAAGGAAGTAGGCCTAGTAGAGTAGGCCTATGTTGTTCTGCAAGGACCATAGTGCCATCTAATGACGATGACTCTTTTTTTTTTAAATCATATATAAATTTGTTAATAAAACAGTGATTTCATATCTAAAGTTCTAACCAAAAAAAAAATTCAAGCAGAAAATTTTCAACATGTGTGCAGTAGACCTAACATTGTCAATTTAGTTGATGCTTCAAATTTCTGTTTTGGTTAAGCTAAATTTAAAGCTAGCAAGAAAATATGCAAACCCACAAACATAGCCAGAATATTTATCAACTTTATAACAAAAGTATGACAGATACTAAAAACCTCGTATCTTGTTGGTCTTTAGCTATAAATATCTGAGAACAAATATTGCATCAGTTTGATATAATTCAGAGCACAAATTCAAAGCTTATATTATTCAAGTTGAGTGCATTAGAGGAATTTAATAAACAGAGTATATGGGTTGTTTATCATAAAATGTATTTGAAAAATAAAATTAAAGCTATTTATTTAAAAAAAGTCATGACACATAATTAATATAAACTGGAAATCATGAAACTAACACATGGAATAAAAAGTCAAAAACACATAAATAAAAAATCAATGAATAGCAATACAAAATACATCCGCTTTAATTAATAATTAGGAGCAAAGGTTGATCAAAGAATCTTATAACTATATATGAAATTAAAATATAATGTTAAATTAAAATTGGTAATTTTTAAAAATAATTACTATAAATAAATGTTCAGATTATGACATTTAATTAAGAAAGACTTTTTTACACAATTTTTAATACTAATTATTATGACTTTAGACTTTAGGTAACGCATGCATCCAAAATATTATAGAAATCTACAGACACTTTAAAACTTTAGGTAATAAAATTCATTGACTAATATAAACACACATACAACTTTTTACATTTGTACAGTAATTACAAATAAGAAAAAATTTTGAAGGTAAGAAATAATTTTGAATCACTTCTTTAAACGGGTACCAAGTTTCATAGGACCTGCGTTTCTCCTTGGTAAATTTTCTTCGTTATTACTTTTTTCACTTTTCTTGGCAGGGAAAACCTCCTGAAAAAGATAAACTATGTTAGCATTTGAAAATTGTTAGTTTTTAATTTCATTTCTAAGGTATCCCCATCCCTAATTTGGCCTTAAAACAATTAAATGATCTCATCACCAATAAGTAATAATTGATTTTTTTTTTTAATTTTTTGTTATTGTTTGTTGGGTTCTACATTAGAGTAAAAAGTGTGGGGTGTCTTCAGGGGGGTAATCAACCTATTCTAGCCAGAGAGAAAAACTCGAAATTCATTACATGGATCTGTCTTGATATAAATTTCAACCTGGCTAGGTCAGATTCGAACTAGCAACGCCTCTGACTCCAGGTTGCAAAGGTGATGCCTTAGCACACTCAGCCATCTTGGCCCAGAAAAAACATTCGATTGGACTTTTTTATACTTCAGGAAGCAGAAACAACTTGACTTTTAAATAAACAATCCAACAGTTAGTAAAAAAAAAATAATAAAAAAAAAGAAATATTTCATAAACTTGTGTGATTTTAAGAGTGAATTATAGCATGTTTTAAAAGTTTTGACATGCTGAAATCAAAAATAAGTTTCATAATGAGAGGAAGACAGAATATTTATTATAAACATTCAGAAGGCCATTGGTAAAGATTTGGAAAGTCCAAAGGAAGTGGAAATTAAAGTTTTATCACATTGCAGAGTGAGTCCCTGTTCGTCTACTGATCCTTAATATAATTTTCATTTACCCTAAGTTTACTTCCAAATTTATTGGTCTACATACTTCAACGGAATCATAATATAGTCCATGTACCTAGTCCTGTCATAAATATTGTTACAAGGAAATATATACAGAATTCAACAGAGAAATTAATTTTTTTAAAGACTTTATTAGAAAATAAAATGTCTTAGAGTAAAATCTATAGAGAGTAAAAAAAAAAAGAAATTACTCAAAATGTCCCCCTTTTCCCTTCATACAGGTATTTAATCTCAGTGGCCAGTCACCAACAGCAGCATGCAGCACTTCTTGAGGAAAGCGCTCACCTGCTTGGACCAGATTTGAGACTTTCCAAGTTATGGTGTGCTCTGTATCATGGTATCCTCTTCAGTTCGGACCAAATCGATAATCTAGTGGGTTGAGATCAGGGATTCCTGAGGATCAATCTGAGGCAGAGATGAACTGTCTGTGGAATGTTCTTTGGCAGCCACCGCTGAGTTGAACTGGCCATGTGAGCTAGAGCGGAATCTTGCTGGAAAACCCAATGACTTTCAACAAACAGAGTATCATTTAGAGGCTTGACAATAGGTTCCAAAATATCGTTCTGATAGTTTTTAGCGGCTGTTTTAACTCTTTTTTCACAAAAATGGAGCTATCAAAGTTCCCTTTGTGGAGCTATCAAAGCAAACTCCCTACCAAACCATCACTGAGGAAGAGTGATGACCTCTTTCCACTCTTCCAATGACTTCCTGGGCTTCTTTAGAGCTGTGTGCGTACACACGATTATTTTGGCGATTAATTTTTTCTTAAATTGTAAAAATTTTCTCATCTGACTTTTCAATGGAAATAGACGTTATGAGGTTCCCTGAGTCCAAATAATTACAGCAACATTTTCCTCAAAATCAGCCAACCGGAAGTGATACTTTATATAATTGATTTAACAAATTTTTACGATTTTCTCAAAAACGGCTCTAACGATTTTGAATAAACATAGTATATCAGTTTATTATTAAGCAGTTTTTAATATAATGTAGACTTTACTCTCATTGATGTTCTCAAACTGGGCTTAAATGGCTAATTTTCAATATTTTCTTCCTCTAAAGTATCTTTAATTTTTTTATTTGAAATAATTAATCATTGATACAAGAAATAGTTAATATAAAATATAAAAGAATTTGATAATTAACTAAAGGAGATATAAGAGATTGTAACTGATAATAGTTGTAAGAGAAGAACCAAAGGAAAACAAGCTCGCCCGAAAGAGTACAACAGGCTTCCATACATAACATGAGCTTAATATAATATGGACTCCGACAATATTATATATGTATACATATGGGATTTTCATAAATGCTATTGTTGGTATTATTTAATATTCAATTGTATAGAATACAGCGATATAAAAATTAAAATTTGTCTATATAAGGGTATTTAAACAAATAAAAATAACCACAATGAAATGTAAATAAATATAGCGTCTATAATTTTTACTTTCAATTCCCCTTTCTCTGAAAATACTTATTTTTGCTAAGACGATGGTGGGTAAGTGAAAGTTGTGTGATGCGCAGACCAGATTTTTTTGGGGAAGTGTTTAGCCTTTGTTCTGTCATTCTTCGAAACATAACCATCTTAAAGTCACATTTTACTATGTAAGACATTGATCTGACAGGATTCCCATTTCCTGAGACATGATTTGTTGTTTTCGAATGGGATTTCTTCTGATTTAAGCAGCCAATGCTCTCACTGCATTTGCCATTCTCACAGAGGGCACGGTCAAGGTCTGTTGCATAAAGATAGGGTCTCATTATATCTATTTATAGTGCGGTACACAAACATATGCCTGATACTCAAAGGTTTCAAAGTGTTGAAAATATCTGACCTATATTTTCCAACTTTGTGTAAGGCGATCACAACTATTCGGTTTTCTTTATCACCCCACTCCATGTTAACTGAGTAAAAGAAAAATACAAACTAATTGGGATTATTATCCTGACATGTACAGAAAATAACCTGATAGAGGTAAGGATTATCTAAATAATACCCAACGATGTAAACAAAGTTCAACTATTGTAACAGTATTTATGGCAGAACAAAGTATAGTCAGAAATTTTAAATGACAAAAATATTTTAAAAAGTAATCAATTCCAATGATTGTTTTTCATCTACACATTCCTAGTGTAACTACAAAATTGGAAGCTAAACCATACAGATGCCCAAATATTCCCCAGCCAGGAAAGAGGACACTCTGATATGTTTAGAACACCAATTCTATGCAGATCCAGGTAGTCAGGTAGTCCATGCAGAAAAGGGCAATGTCAGTGGCTCTTTGGAGATAACAAGGGATTGAGCGACATAATGTAAGATGAATATGTAGAATTATAAAATATAAACCATGTTAAACTATAATTAATTTAATATACTAACATTAAATTTAATAATATTTTACAAATAAGTTTAATAAGTGAATAAAATTTCTTTTATTTACAATGGATGAATTTTTAAATAAAAAACTTACTCTAAAAACAAGGTTGGCACACATTAATTTTATAGCTCCTAGAAATTCCATTAATACAATTTTGAGAATATTAAAAAAATATATTCCAAAGCAAATCTGAATCATTAAAAAAAAAAAACATGGCCCTAATAACAAAACTAATGTTAACGGACACGAGTATTTCTAATAGTATACTACTGTTTTAAAAAACAAAGATAAGCTTAAAATAAATAATTTGTATTTACAGATACATCATCCCAGCCTTCACAGTTGCTATCGCCCCAACCATCGTAATCAGAAGCTTCACTATCATCAGAATGAGGATCTGCAGATGGTACTATATTTGTTATTTTTTCTTTATCTTGTTTGGGTTCACTTACCGAAGGCTCTGAAATTTTGGAACCTATAAATTTAATAAAAGTAATTATTAACTTGATTTCTAAATAATAAGTTAAATATTAAACACAAATACAGTTGAAAAATAGCAATATGCTACAATGTAATTGAGTGAATAATGTACATACATAAGAATTATATAAAAATCTCCTCCCGAAAAAATAAACTAAATAAACGAATATAAAAACTTATCCTACTTACTGCCTCCCGCAGTCCTACATCCTACGCCCTGATGAAGACCTGCAAAGTGGGTCGAAATGTCGGCAAAAATTAAATAATTCTACTTGTTTAATTTAGTATTAATTTGACCGCACCCCCCGATCAACTCCTTCTCATATAAAAACTTATAATTTTTAGGGAGTAAAGCAGGGTTCCAAAAGATCCCAGTGCCTGTACACAACCAGAATCAGTTTCAATGAAACATGGAGGCTAAATTACATTCTCCAGCGCTAAATTAGACAGCACTGAATAGTCCATATCCCAGCCATAAATCAGTTAGAACTTTGAAGGCTTAAGAGACTTCACTTTCTATAAGGAATAAATATTTAGGATCATTTGTGTATGCCTTCCTTAATCTCACCAACAAAAACAAAATCTACTACTGTGACATACGGTGTAGAATTCCAAAATAAGCCAGCTCCTTTTTCAACTTTTTAATTTTGTTAGTAGATAGTTTTGGTACTACAGTTTCATGAGATGAAAGACTTTCCTTCAACCATAATAATAGAATCACATCTGATTAGACAGTTTTTGAATGAAATTCTTTTATATCATGATAACCTAGAACAGAACTGTTAACTTGGTATGACGAAATATCTCTTTCTTTCTTTTATAATATGTTATAAAATATTTTGTTGGAATAAATAAAATCAATAAGTTAAGAATTATTTCCTTTTATTACTTGAGGTATGATGATATTACATATAATTATAAAGAAAAGAGACCCATTGTGAAACGAGTTGATCAAAATTTTATTCTCTGGTTAACAGGTCAAAAAGAATAAAAATTAAAAACGGAGTTGACTAGTTTTGGAATTCAATGACTCATATCAGTTTCTTTAACTCTCAGATATAAAGATTCCGTAATCGATAAGCTAAATAATTTAGGAAACCTCTGAATCTGAAATAGTTTTCAGTAATTCATAATGGATCTAAATTGTTTTTTTAGTAATCTATTTATTGAATAATAATCCAATCAGTCCCTGCTGGAGGGCTATAAGTATTAGGGCTAAAAGTTCTCATTCACACAATATACACAAATAATAGAGAAATAAATATAAATATAAAAAGTAAATAAATAATACTGATGTAGAAAGTAAATAAAAAAAACAAAACAAATAAAATAAAATCTTCTGAACACAATCATACCTATATACAATATATACATTCACCCAGGAATCTCCAAGCCAGGCTTTCCCCCCCCCCACATGTAGAAGGCAAAGCAAGACTCCAGGAGATCCCAGTGCCACTTTTCCAGCCGCATAACTAGTATTAGAAGCCAGTGGAGACTGAAAGAGGGCACTAGAGCCACAGATGCTCAGGACACGAGTGGAGAAGCTGGCCATTGCCAAGACTCCAAAGGCATATTTACAAAAGATCTCGAGGCCACTGCCGTTTCAACCTTCGAGGGGGATGGTATGGATGCCCAGAGCTGGATAGAGATTGCGCTAGAGGATTGGGATGATGAATAAGGTTCTGGTGAAAGTTAGAGAATCTGGATGGGGTGATGTCATGGTCATATGAGATGTTAAGGTCATGGTATAGGGTCTTGTTCGTGACATAATATGGAGCATTGACTATTGTTCGAAGGACTTTGGACTGGAAGGATTAGATACGTTTGATATTCGATGATTTAGTTGTCCCTCACAGTTCAAGTCCGTAGGTCCAGATAGGTTTCAGTATGGTCTTGTAGATTAAAAGTTTGTTTTCTGTTGGGAGATAAGATGTTCTGTTTAGTAGTCTATATAGCTGACCAAATCGTCGGTTAAGCTCTAGTCTTTGAAGTCTCGTATGTGGGTTCCAAGTTAGTCTTTTGTTTAGAAGGAAGCCAAAGTATCGGACTGTGTCTAAGCAGGAAAGAGGAATTGAATTAAAAAGAATTGGAGGACAGGATCTGCGTCAAAGAGTGAAAGTGACATGTTTGCATTTTGATTCATTAATTTTTATGAGCACCACTGTTCAATGAAGGAGAGGTGTCTTTGCAGGTTTCGGGATGCTATTAGAGGATCTGAGTGGGAGGATAGGATGGCAGTATCATCAGCAAATGTTGCTAGGAAGGTATCAGGACTTGAAGGGATGTCGGCGGTGAATAGGATGTAGAGAACTGGGCCCAAGTGTCAATTGGATAATGTTTGGAGAGTTCAGTGCCGCAGCGGACTTGAAAGGAGAGATTTGAAAGGTAAGATTTGAGGACTAGGTACAAGGGTTGGGGTAAATGGGTTTTAAGCTTGAAAAGCAAGCCATCGTGCCATACCCGGTCGAAAGCTTGATCTACGCCCAGAAAGGCACCAGTGCAATATTGCTTGTTTTCCAGTACAGAGAATATGTGATCCACAACTCGAAGGCCTTGTTGGACAGTGGAATGTCTTGAGCGAAATCTAAACTGATGGGAAGGGATATTGTGGGATTCAAGTATGGGTAGGATGCGTTTGAGAAGGATTTTCTCAAAGATTTTTGAAAGGATCGGGAGTAAGCTTATCGGTCTATAGGATAATGTATAATTAACAGGTTTACCTGGTTTAGGAAAGAGGATAATTATGGAGTGTTTCCATACCAGAGAAAGGAGTGGGTTGTGCGGAGGATACAGTTGAATAGGTATGTACGGAATATAATTGGTTTTTTGGGAAGTTGTCTGAGGATGTGGGAAGTAAGGAGATTGTGTCCAGGAGATTTGCGAGGTTTTAGGTTCTTTAAAAGGAATTTGACCTCAGAGGGGTTGACGGCTGTAGGAGGGATCTAAATCAGTTCATTCTTATCAAAAGAAACAATAATGAGGAAGCATTCACTCACCAGGTTTTTTGTTGGCTATTACTTCAGATTTTTTGTTTTCTAGAGTATCAACCTTTTTGTTTTCTACTGAATCAGCTTTCGTTTTTGTTTCATTTGGTTTCAAAAACTTTGATGTTAATGCAGAAAATGCCCAACCTGACCAAGTTACATTGTCTTCACAAGTTTCACTCATCACATCTTTTTCTGCACATAAAAAATTAATAAGTATTTTTAATTTCAATAAATTAATTTTCATAAAATTTAACGAATTAATAAATAAATTGAAATATTATAGTAATGGATAATACAAATCATCATTTCAACAGATCTACTTGACAATTCTAACTTCCTTTATTATTTTAGATACTTTTTTTTTTTTTTAATATTTTACATAGTCTGAAGATATTAACTAACGATTGATTGGCTGGATTACTTTTTAGTGTTTTATTACTAGATGGTAAATAGTTTAAAAGTAATTTAATTGTCTAATTGTTTGCCAATACCTCATGATTGATTTTGTTGCACATAGACAGAAAAATAACTTTATTTATATGTATAAATAAATAAATATATAGGGAGTAGGGTAGCTCAGTGGTAGGGTACTGAGCTTCCAATGCTAAAGAATCCAGGTTCGAACCCCGGCTCATGCCAAAAAATTTATTTATCTGTTTCGTTGGCCGTGGGGCGAAGCTAATACAACCAATATTGTATTAAATGACAGCAGAGGCCTCAAAGAAAATTATAAATTAAATTCTAAGAAATACAGAGAAAAATGTTTAGCCAATGGGGAAATTTCCCTAAAACTTCAACAAAATATGAGATACTACAACAATAAAGAAAATGTTGAACGAAGTTAGAATTATCTAATAGCCCTATTGAAATGAGTGGAATCTTCAAGCTGAGGTGGACTAAAAACAAATAATTATCTTTTGTGAAAGCTATAGAAACATAAGTCTGGCTAATATTTTGGAGATATTGTATAGAAGTGAAAGCCATAATGATTGATGTTGTGGAATAACATAAAATTTAAAAAATACAAACAAGTAATATTTGAAACATGACAAAAAAAATTTAAGACAACAGTTTGATTTTGACAATTATTTTGATACTGATATGGAATAATACTTCAAATAATTGTAACTGATAAAATATCCACCGGCAGAATTGAATCTTCACTAAACCCGCATCTCATGTCAAGAGAAGAAAAGAAACAATCTCTGTTTTAGTCGGCTTACAGGTATCTAACGTAGACATCTTAGTTAAGGCTAGAAGTGGGGAGCGCACGCATATAGATAAGACTAGGTACTAGATATCTCTGTGTCTCTGGTGACAAGTCAGGGGCTGTGTCAATTTTTATAACTTCATTTATGTATTTTTTATAATTCAGTCATTTCATACCAATTAAGATGGTTTTATGTCCAATTTGCAGACAGACCATAGCTAGAGAAGAAAAAAAAAACATTAACATGTTCTATCTCTACATGTCAAGCTATTTTTCATAGCATATGCTTGAACACAGAGAGTGTGAATTTGAAGCACTAAGGGCATCAAAATAAAATTTGGTATGCCCCAAATGTGAAAAGGCCCGGAAAAATATCAAACCGAGTGATAAGTGTACTAGTCCTCCAAGATCGGCTCCACAACAATTAACTGTCGGCTCCATGTTCCAATTGCTACTTTCTGCCATTAAAGACCTTACAGAAGAGGTCAAGGAATTAAAATTCTCCCTCGATGCCAATGATATGAGGTAAAAAAACTAAAAATATCGCTTGAAAAGCAAGCCTTTATTACTTTCGGGAATGGGGTGAAATTGGACACTATAGAGTCACTATTGGAGGCTCAAAATTCCAAGATGGCCTGACTGGTCCTGGAAAACACTACTCTCAAGTCCCAGGTCTCAGAGCTCTAAATCAGGCTCAACAAAAGTGAGCAATTGCACTTATCCAGGTCAATAGAAATAAGAGGAGTCCCAGTGAGATCTGGGGAGACTCCCATGGGACTGGTCATTAGCGTGGAGGTGGGCCTGGGCCTGAGATTAAAGGTGGAGGATATTTACTGCACAGAACGGATGAGATTAAGGCAAGATGATATGCCTGGGCCACTTCTCGTAAGGTTCATTACCAGTCACTTAGAGACAAGTTGGTCCAGAGGCGAACGGTTATCAGGACTTTTCAACATTACACCTCGGATGGCAAGAAAACCCACAAGATTTATCTTGTAACCAAAGCTATGTCCGTAACCAACAGACACTTGTTTTGGTGTGAGGTTCAGTGCAGGCAATGTGAAATGTCGATGAGACGATGGCCAACAGGTCGTCGTCATTAAATCACAATTAGACTTGAATATATTAGCTTGATATGTACACACTTTATACAGTAGGGATACTTTCAAAAGAAATAAGAGATTGTTAAATAAGAAAGAAAATTATAAGAGTAATAATATATTAAATTGAAATTTATAATTTTGGGTGTCAGGATGCAGTCATTATAAACATTTTTTTATTTGTACCAACGTTTCCAAACATCCAAAGAGAGTTTGCTGTGAGAGGCCTCTGGTTTGGGTCTCGCGGAAGAATTCCAAAAAGAACATGGAGCTTCCTCGAGGAACTAGGTGTCGACATTAAGGACGTAGCGAGGTTGGCTGAAAATATAGTCCTCGAATCCCTGGGAATCATTCACCACCACATGCATGGCTAGGCTGGGAGTTTTAATTTATGTATTTATTTTATAGAAAATTGAAAAAAATATAGATAAAGAGAGAGAAGTATGAGAAAGGGAAATTAAATGTTAAAAAAAAAGAAAAAAAAGGATATACAAAAAAAATAAAATAATAATAATATATATATATATATATATATATATATATATATATATGTGTATATGCTTATGTTGTAATATAAAGGTGTTTTGTTATTATTACATTTGTTTTTGTGTTTTTGAATTTTATATGAAGATAGGGATAATCAGTGCCTTATCCCAATAATAACAATAAAAAATAACAATAAAAAAAATAAAATAATAATAATACATATATATATAATATATATATATATAATTATATATTAAATATATATATATATATATATATATATATATATATATATATATATATATATATATGTATATGCTTATGTTGTAAAATAAAAGTGTTTTGTTATTATTACATTTGTTTTTGTGTTTTTGAATTTTATATGAAGATAGGGATAATCAGTGCCTTATCACAATTATCAGTGTTCAGGTTATAAACATTGACAGATAGCAGTCCATAGAGACCACATCATTCATAAGTATATATATATTGTAATGTCAACATTACATGGCATTTAAATAGTGGCGCGAAAGTGGTAACAGCCCGAACTACGGGGAGGAAGTGCGTGCGGATGGTGGGGGAAGCAAGCCTCATTTAACTCAGAATGTGACGGGCCGCCAAGAGAGAAGGCGATAGCGGCCAAGAGAGAAGGTTATGAGCCGCCAAGAGAAAATGTGACAAGCTGTCAAGAGAGAAGGTACTAGCCAGCAAGCTGAGAAAATAGAAAGAGCCACAAAGTTTAGACTGGGACAATCAAGGTTTTTGAAAACAATAATAAATTTTATATGTATAATTAGTGTATTTAGTAATTAGTAAATTATAGTTATTTAATGTTGAATGAGTGTTCAGTTGTACGAACCCAACCTGAGATTTATGTTATATGTGTAAAATAAATAGTATATTGAAAAAGGAAACTCGTTGTTTGATTTTGGAGGGAAAGAGGAACGTTACAATATATATATATATATATATATATATATATATATATTTTTTTTTTTCTGTTGGCATTACAGACCATGTGGATCTTAACAAGCCTGCTCCATCTCTGCCCGAGGCTTAGCTTAGGTTTCGTAATAAGTGTTTTTTTCAGGGATAGGGTTATTAGCTCTATGCCTAACCCCCAACCTGGAGCACCAGGAGCTGTGGTGTAAGACGAAGGGGTCGCTCACCTCCCTGCGAATCTCTGGGTGAGGATGTTACCATCTCCATGTGGGAATGGAACCCACGCCGTAATGGTGAAAGTAATCGGGTAGCGCTACCAATTTTTATTTGTTACATTTTTATATATATATATAAATGTATATATAATATATATATTATAATATATATAATATATATATATATATATATATATATATATATATATATATATATATATATGTATGTATTTCTTTCCCATAACAAGAAATTCAGCAGTTCTCGGTCAGCTTTCCTGGACATTTGCTGATGTACTTTGGCATTGATTAAATCATAATTATGCTTTCTTTAAAATAGTATGATTTGTTCTCTGATGTGATTTAGAGAGAAAGAAGAAATGGAAATAATTTTGACAAATTTATCATGTTTAAAGTTTGAGATGTTAATACAGAGTGTAAAAAGAGAAGAAATGTGGTCAACAAAGAGTTTGGACTAATAGTGTATAATACAGTTGTAATTTCTTGGGTGATAAAGAAGGCCAATAAATCAAGTGTTTTACAACTGGGTGTGGACCAGTGAAGGGGAAATAGCAAGTGAAGCTCACCCATAATGACATCTTATTTGTGTAAAATCTTAAGATTTTTTTTAAAGACAATTTTAGATAAATTGATTTTATAGCAGAAGATATTGTTAATAAAAAAAATGGATAAAACTAAATTTTCAGATAAGATACTATTTTCATTTTTTCATATAATTAAAATAATGAACTAGAAATCTATACATGCTATCTTAACAATTATGTTTTCATACCTATTGTTTCCTTCATTTCTGGTGATTTTGAAACTTGTTCTAGTTTTGATATTAAAACCTTGATAGTTCTAAAAGCATTATCTCTTACATTTGAATCAGAATCTATCGTTAAACAAATAAGTCCAGGCAAAATGCTTTTTGCTGTTTCTTCAACTGGAAAGAATCGATGAGTGACGGCAAAAGCTTGAATACCTGCATAAAAATATCATACCATTATTAAGTTCTATTATATTCATTGCTTAATAAATTGAAACTAGTTTTAAAAATTTGACAGGAGTGGGATAGCTTAGTGATAGGGTGCTTAACTTCCAATGCTCAAGGTCCCAGGTTTGAATCCCGAATCATGGCAGTAATATTATTTATTCTGTTTTATAGGCCATGGGGTGACCCTGGGGTCAAGAGACCCTCATGGGGCACACTCAGCCTCTATAAAGCGGGTACCCTTAATTAAATAATTAATTAAGGCAGAAAACATGGAGGTTGAGTGTGATCTCAGTCAAATCACCTCCTTGTACAAGCGTTGACCAAGAAACAGTGCTTTCCCTAAATTGTACTGAACCCAAGACCCTCGATGGGTTGTAGTGGTAATAATAATAATAAAAGGCTTAGCGAACTCGAAGGTTCGATGTCGAAACCACCAATTGCTTATTACACATCTCCCTCCAGTGTTTGCGGTCCAAACCAAGTCCCTTCAGATCGGCTTTAACGCAATCTTCCCACCTTTGCTTAGGTCTACCCCTCAGACGTTTACCATTCGGTACAGCAAATATCAACCTTTTAGGAATTCTTTCGTAACTAAGTCTAACAATTTTACAAGCCCATTTGATTCACCAAGATATGATCACCTCAATTATAATAACCGGATACAGTTCGCGCGATTCAGCATTATGTAACCTTCTGAGCTCTCTGATTAACTCATCCTTCTTCTGTCCGAATATTCTACTCGATACTTTATTTTAAAAAAACTTAAGACATTGCTCATCCCTTAATGTAAGCGACCATGTTTTGGTTCCATAAAGAACTGTAGGTAGGATAATGGTTTTAAAGATTATAGTACTTAAATTCTGGGACAAAATGCACGAGCTAAATAGTATTGTCACAGAAAAATAACAAGCATTTCCTGCCTTCAGCCTAATCTTAATCTCCTCTTCAATTTTGTTTGTTCTAGTTATCGTAAACTCTAGATACTTAAACTTCTCTACCTGATCAAACGTATTACCTTCTATAACAATATCACCAGCAATAGTGCCATTTTTGCAGCTAACCATATATTTTGTTTTATCCGTGTTTATTTTGAGCCCTAGTTCTTTACCAGATTTCATTAACGTTTTGTAGTTTCCGTGACTTCACTTAACAGGACTAGATCATCCGCATAGCCAAGCATGGGTGTTGCCTCACCCAGATTCAACCCTTTTTCGGTACGCAATACCTCATGTTCTAATGCCAAATTGAATAGGAGAGGCGAAATCCAGATATTCTGACTGTTGGAGAGGATACAACTCTCAATAACTGGATGAAGCAAAGTATAACCATTTTCAGGCAAATCAACGGTATAACTTTGTTGATCCTTTAATTGGGGCCCACACTCAACACATAGAACGATTATGGGGCTCAGCTAAGTGGAGAAATAAAAAACATCGAGGAAATGCGAGGCAAACACCTGGATTATGTGAATACTCCATTCATTTCTCCCACAGACCTTATTACCGTTATAATGAAATCCCGTTCCAATTCCGTAGGCCCAGATGGCATTCCTATCAAACTAATAAAATTATGTCTCCCTGAAATCCTTCCAGCACTCCTTTTCATCTACAATTTCTCCCTGCAGAATTCAATATTCCCGACCTCTTGGAAAAAAGCCATTGTCCTTCCTTTAAACAAAAAGCCTAATCCATCCTCTCTCGAAGATTTCCGCCCAAAATCAATCCTTTCCAATCTTTCTAAACCCCTAGAAAAGTTAGTGCAATCCCAAGTTTCCAACTACCTTGAACAATCCAACCAACTCGATCCTCTCCAATCTGGCTTCCGTCCTGGCTACTCTACACAATCTGCTCTGATTAAAATTACTAGTGATATCCAGACTGCAATAGATGACAAAAAACTAACCATACTTATACTGCTTGATTTCTCCAAAGCTTTCGATTCCATTATCCATTCCATCCTTTTCAACAAACTAAAATCATTATCCTTCTCCAATAGTTCCATCTCTTGGTTCCAGTCTTTCCTCTCACAACGAACCCAAGCAGTTTCCATACCTAATCAACCTCTATCTGCCTACCTTCCTTTATCCTCAGGAGTTGCACAGGGTTCAAGCATGTCTCCTCTTCTTTTCAGTTCTTATATTAATGACCTAAATGATTCAATTATCCATTGTTCCCACCACCTTTATGCCGACGATTCTCAAATCTATTTAACCTTTTCTCCCGCTGAGTTATTGGTGGCATTTGCCAAAATTCAAGAAGATTTAGATCGAATTAGTGCCTGGGCCAACTTAAATGGATTAAGGCTAAATGCTGCCAAAACTCAGGCCATTCTCATTGGTTCCAAGCCCCTTCTTAGATCCCACACCAACTTTCCCTCACTCTATCTAAACAACCACCCCATCACCTTCTATCCCTTTGTTAAAAATTTAGGCTTTCTCATAGATCAAACCCTTTCCTGGAATCACCATATCTCTCATATATCCCGCCGTGCAATTTCTACCCTCAAACTATTCCATCACTTCCGCCATCTTCTACCCCAAAATACCCGTAGACTCATAGTTTCCTCTCTCATCTTTCCCCACTTTGACTACAGCTGTGTGGTGTACGATGGCCTCTCGGTGGAACTGCGTGATAGACTCAAAAGACTTATGAATTGTTTCGTAAGATTTGTAATTGGAACCCCGAGACGCTCCCGTGTCTCCCACCACTACACTGAGTTAGGGTGGCTCTTCCCCTCCTTAAGAAGACAATATTTCCTTGGCACTTTCCTTTATCAAATCATTACCGACCATCGTCCTTCTTATGCCTACAACCTTCTCCAATTTAAGTCCTCAATCCATTCACTCACTACAAGATCCCGACCCTCTGACCTATACATCCCTTCTCATAGATCTGCCTCATTCCAAAATTCCTTTATAGCCCGCTCTGTCAACTTTTGGAATTCCCTCCCGATCAAAATTCGACATGCCCCTTCCCTGTATACATTCAAAAACCTCCTATTCCAATTCCTGTTCCAAAAACAGTCTGATACCAGCTAACTATTGATATTATATATGTATTGTGTAGCAATCATATAATCATAACACTTGCAAGAGATAGTACATGCATTTCCTACTATCGACGTAGGAATTTCAATACATACATTTTTTTTTAATTTTTTTTTTTATTCAATTATAAGTAACTGTTTATTTTTATATATATATATTCAAGTAAAGTTTTTTTTTTTTTATGAAATGAACTCATTGTATCTCTTTTTCATTCTTCATTTCTCAAAGTGTATGTTTATGTTGTTCAACCCTTAAATATAATTTTGTTCATAGTTCAAGTGATCCGTTCATAGTTTTAATTGTTTTGTTCATAATTTTAAATGCTCTGTACATAGTTTTATCTGTTTGTATATAGCTTGTGCACCTAAGGTTTTCTTTACTTTTTATTTTATTTTATCAATTTTATTTATTGTTTCAACGTTCAGGCCAGTAATATTCTATTATTTTGTACATTATTGTTATTCTGAAGGGACTTAGTCCCAGAATAAAGTTTTTTTTTCTATCTATCTTTCTACTATGAGTATATTTATGTGAATTCAGAGAAGAGGACCCGTTCCTCGCTATTTTAAATAGAAATAAGCTATTTTGTCTGCCAAAATAAATGAAATGTAAAATAAAAGTGTTTTATAGGTATATATCTTATATATATAAAGCATGTAAGTGTAAACGTTGTATGTATTAAGTGTTATATACGTTTTATTTTGTCTCCCAAAATAAATGAAATCTAAAATAAAAGTATTTTGTTATTATTACATTTGTTTTTGTCTATTTCAATTTCCCTAAATATGAATATGAAGATAGGTATTATCAGTGTTCAGGTTACAAACATTGGCAGATAGCAGTCCGTCGTGACCGGCTAAGTCACAATTACTGAGGTTTTTAGTAACATTGAATTGATATCCAGAATCTTGAGACCAACTGGTAGACAAACAAGAATTATATTTTATTATATTAATCTAAAAATCAGAGCAGTAATCTAAAAATAAATTAAGATCTTTCTTTAAAAAGTTACAACCTTCCTACATATACCATAGCTAAAAAAATTTTCAACTAGGATAAATTTAACATTTTTTTTTTAGATTTGTTTGATTATTTTATGATGATTTAAAAAAAATCTTTACAATAATTTCCAAAATAGATAATTTAAGATATTTTAAATCTTAAGGCCTCTAGGGGTCCTAGCTGCCTTGAGATATTTTTTTTAATAAGACATTAATAAACATTGAGTACCTGAATTTCTCACTGTAGGACAAGAATCATGTAATGCAAATAAGAAAGCATTCAAGAGGACCTTTTTTCTTGTGGTAGGTTGTAGAGAATATGCTATTTTTCCCAGACAAATGGTAGCATTGGTTCTTATATGTGCCTAAAAATAAACAACTTTATATTTTTAAAAAATCTAAATCACATAGCAAGATAATAAATCAACTATTAACACACAGTTTAAAGTCCATTGATATGCCATTAAAGAAGCTATGGGAAATGCTGGAAGACTTCTCAATATAAATCCCTACCTTGTAACAGCCATAAAAACCTATATGAAGATGATAAAGCATGTGTTAAAACCAGAGACTGTTAGTAATAGCTTTCTCAATACGAAAGGTTTAAAATAGGGATCTTTACTGTCTCCACTTCTCTTTAACATTTACTATGGAAGGGCTCCAAGAGAATGGAAGAAAAGGTTTATAGGTATGGGCATAAAGATTGGAAATGATTGACTATTCAATCTTTAGTTTTCTGGTGACCAGATTCTCATCTCTTCAGAAGCAGAGGATGTCGAATATATGATGAGACAAATTCTCCAGGAATAATCAAGCTGGGGACTGGAAATCAGCAAAGAAAAAACAATATATATGGCCTTTAGAATAGAATACCTAAATTTGGGCATTTGGATGATGAAACCTGAAGTTCAATATAAGTATCTAGGACACGAGTTGAATACAATAGGAACATCAGATATGGACATTGAAAAGAGCATAAGTAACAGGAAGATAATGATCAGAACCTTAAATTCGGTACTGTGGAGTAAAGCAATATCCTTAAAAAAAATTATTCATAAATTGTTCCTGAAAAGTGTTACTCTCTATTCAGCCAAATCTTCAACAATTAAAGAGAGTCAATTAAATAGATTTTTTGGTGTCTCTCGCTTTCATAAAGTTCTAAATAGTGAAATAAGGAAACAAGTGGAGAACAAACTCTATACCATTGAAACAATGAGGCTAAAGTAGTATGGTTATAAGGATGGAAGAGGGACGATGGCCTAAACAAATTTTGGATTGGAAACTGGAAAGAAGGTTGCCCGAAAAGAAACAGGTATGAGGGCGTAAAGGAAAGAATGACGAACAAGAGAATGCATGAAGGAGGACGGTAGGACAGAAGAAGATGGCTAAAACTTATTTGTTGACGACATATGACTAGTGTTGTAAAAGTTGTTAAATAAAAAACAATATTGTACACTGACAGGCAAAAAATTCCACCCACTTGATTTTTTCATGTTTTCATCTAAAAATATTTCTGCTTTGGATTGGTCTATTGTTTTTAACGAATAAATAGTTAATCTTTTTGTTTGTTTTCAATTAGGAATGTTAATATAGAGGACAATAACCCTTAATCCTTAACTCAATGAAATAATTCTAGATTCCACTGTTTACTTTCTATGGAATCAAAATGTTTATTCAGTATCATTAGTTCAGTGACAATTCTTGCAACACATTTCTTAATCTCCGGCTTTTAATTTTTTCAATAATAAGTTTATAAATGCCTCTTAGTGCCCGGTTCTGGACGGCCTAGGGTAACAGAACCAACGGGATGACCGGTTTTTGACTTTGAGAATTTTACGAAACCGGCACCTTACCGTAAAAAGTTCGAGGTGTGCACATTTCTGAACGTACCGCTCGGAGAAGATTAAATGAGTATGGATTAATGGCTGTTTGTCCAGTAAGAGGACCAGAGTTGACCAGAACTCACAGAGTAACACGGCTGGCTTTTGCTCGAGAACACAGCCATTGGACTATGGAGGAATAGAGTGCTGTACTTTTTACAGATGAGTCAAGATTCACTCTTCGATCTCCAGACGGGCGTGAAAGGGTGTGGAGAAGAAGAAACGAAAGATATGCAGCCTGTAATTTTTCCCAGAGCCAACCTTTCCAACGGGGTTCCTTAATGGTGTGGGATGGGATTTCAATGGAGTGCCTCACAGAATTGGTTGTTGTTCGTGGAGGGTCTTTGACGCCCATTCGCTATGTAGATGAGATTTTATAACCTCATGTGTTGCTTATCCTCAACAAAATCGGCCATCGTTCTATTCTAATGCACGCCCACATAGTGCAGACGTTCCTTCAACAGAACAATATTGAGGTTTTAGCCTGGCCAGCACGTTCTCCAGATTTGAACCTCATTGAGCATTTATGGGATAACCTCGGAAGACGAATAACAGCGCGTGCAATACTTCCTGATACACTGCAGTACCTTGAAAGGGCTCCTCGGGAGGAATGGGCTATCCTCCAGCAAAGGGACATTTCCCGACTGGTGGAAAGTATGCCGAGGCGTCTTCAAGAAGTAGTGAAGGCAAGAGGAGGAAACACGTGCTACTAAACGATGATGTAATTAATTTCTTTTAGAATAATAATGGTTTCAATTTTTTTTTCTCTAATCTTTCTTACCCAATCACATTTTGATTATTAAAGGTAAAAAAGATTATAAAATTCCATAAATACTAAGTATTATCTACAAATACCATGTATTATATACAAATACAACTTTTTTTACAAGCGGCAGAAATATTTTTAGATGAAAACATGAAAAAATCAAGTGGGTGGAATTTTTTGCCTGTCAGTGTATAAAAAATTCAAATATAAAATACATTCAACTAGCACACTATGAATAAACAATGCTCAAATATTTATTATAAAATTGATATCACACAGTTACGTACCTCTGCATCCTTTGCTTGTATTTGGAGTAAAAGCCGCATACTTTCATCATTTAAATTTTTTTTAGACAGTAGGGGAGCTATAGAAACCATTGCCTGGAAATCAAATCAAACTATAAAGGCTGTAATTATGTTATTAAAATATTTAGATGAGAAATATTTTAACTAAGCTTCCGTAAACTTGACAAGGGTGGTGTGAAATTATTTTAGTCCAATAAGGGAACTACAGAAAAAAAGTATGAAAACCGTCGACTTTAGCATTTTATTAAATTGGGAAAAAAAGGAATTAAAGCTTTGCAATAATTTATTACAGTCACTTTACTGAAAACATGGGTGCTTTAAAGTGACAGGATATCAAATCACGTAATTTTTTTACACACTTTGAAATGAATCTCAACTTATTTCGTAATAAAACTCAACTTAAATAATATGGATTGAAACCTTATTGAATAAGGAAGTTTTTCTAAAATTGGTAGCAGTATAGTAGGAGAAAAATAGAAAAAAATCGGGAATAATTCATGTTTTTGAAAAACAGAACTCAACTTAGTTTAGCCGTTCAAAAGTCCTCTGTATTTAAATGGTTTAACCATGACAAACTCTACTTTCTAAAAAAATCTTAAATATAGGAAACTGGATACTTATAAAATTTATTATACTACTATATATCTTTAAGTTCTATAAAAATATAAGCAAGATGTGTTAACCAAGAAAACAATAAATTTCTTATCATTAAACTAAATATACAGTAAATAAAATTACCTTAACAGTTTCACCTCTGATTTTAGGATTGGAATCTAAAAATCCTGCAGAGAAGTATGGGAATATATCATTGACACTCTTTTTGCTAATCACATCTAAAACAGAATAATAAATAATAAATGGACTCAAATAATCATATCTAATTAAAAAGTAGAATGTTTAAAGAAGAAATTGTAAAACTAGTGAAGTATCTTACATTCATGAGATAAAACAATTAACTTTTGACATTAAAAAAGTAAATAAAAAATAAGGATAATTCCTACAAAGAAATATGAACAAGTTGGTGATAGAGGAAGTGGAGGGAGGAGGGTGCAGTAAATGAAGCCGAAACACAATAATAAGTGGAATTTATTTAATTTATTGTGTACAAACATTTCAACCCACTTTGCAAGTATTAACCTGGGGTTAATGAACAAGATACAAAATAATGTAGAATTTCTTTAGAGGAGACTAAAATGGCAAATAAGAAATGAAATAACAAGTAAGTTGAAATGAGAACAGTAATAAATGATACACAAATAAATTATAAAATGATAGGAATATAGACATACTGATAATGTAATACAATACAGTTAACAAAACTAGCAACAAATACATTATAACAAAAAAATCAAAAATTAAATAATAATGATAATATAATAATAAAAGGCTTAAACTCAGTTAAATGATACACAATAGGCCTTTTTGAGGAAGTGGTGCATTCCCTTTGTCGGAGCAAAAAAAAAATAAAAGGCTTAGCAAACACAATATTCCCACCTTCGCTTTGGTCTACCCCTCAACATCAAATACAAATACATCAAATAATAACCTTTTAGGAATTCTTTCGTTACTAAGCCCAACAATTTTACATGCTCAATTCATTCGTCCCAATTACCTCAATTATATTAACCTGATACAGTTCATGCAATTCGGTGTTGTATAACCGTCTGAACTCTCCGGTTTAACTCATCCTTCTTCGGTCCGAATATTCTAAGCAATACTTTATTTTCAAAAACCTTAAGACGGTGCTCATCCCTTTTTTTTGTGGTAGGCATAAAGCACACCCTTGAGGGTCTATTGTGTGCCTTGTAGAACTTCCGTTTCATCCCTAAAACGTTAATTAATCACTTACATGTATCTTAGAAGGCTTGTCGGATTGATAGACTCACAGCTTCAGGGGTAATCCACTCAATCCTCCCCAAATATCTCTAGTCTAAGCCTTACAAACCTATCACAACAACAAACGATGTGGAAGGCTGTTTCATTCTCCTCCAGACAGAATCTGCATAGCGGGTTCCTGGTCGCTCGAAGATTGAACATGTGGTAATTTAACTTACAGTGAGTATAGATTGCCGTTTTTTTTTTTTGAGCTGCTCTGTCCAGAATGAGTAGCAGCTTACTTATTTTGTCACATGACCCATTGAGGAACAGCTTCGAGTGTCGTTGTTTCTTCTCGGTCCAGTGTTTTGGAATTTTTCACCATATAACTCCCTAATCTTTCTTTTGGCATTACTAGGCCTGATTCCACAAACAGGTTTAGGAACTATAGGAATAGTGCCTAAGCCTAACCTGTCTAGATTGTCTGCCTCTTCGTTGCCGGGAATGGCCAAATGACCAGGCACCCATTCAATTACAACTCTGTTAAACTTAGCAAGATTGTTAACGCTATATGGCAGTCTTTAACAATCTTTGAGTAAGTATAATGATTATTTAAAGCACCTATTGCTGCTTGACTGTCAGAGTAGATTATTATCTTTTCTTCAAACCTTCCTGTTGGCTATGTATTATTTTTGCTCATCCCTTAATTTAAGTGGCCATGCTTAGCATTCATAAAGAACCGTATGCAGGATAATAGTTTTATAGATTCTAATTTTTCAGTTCCGGGACAGGAGGTGCGAGCTAAGTAGTTTTGTCACAGAAAAATAACAAGCATTTCCCACCTTCTGCCTAACCTTAATCTCCTCTTCAATTTCGTTCTTTCCAGTTATCGTAGACCCTAGATACCAAAACTTCATGCATATTACCTTCAATATTGATATCACCGGCAATATCGCCACTTTTGCAACTAACCATATATTTTGTCTTATCCGTGTTTATTTCTAGTGCTAGTTATTTACCAGCTTTCATAAACGTTGTATTGACAGTTTCCGTGTTTTCTCTTAACAGGACCAGATCATCCGCATAACCAAGCACGGATGTTGTCCAACCCAGGTCTGACCCTTTTTCGGTAAGCATGTTCTCATGCCAAATTGAACAGGACAGGCGAAAGGGAATCACCTTGTTTTAAAGGGAACCACCTTTGCGTTTGCGTCATCTATAATTATTTTCATGGAGTTTCACGGTAGTTTATCATAAGCCCATTGGAGTTTATCGTGAAATTCGCATTTGACTTTATCGTCTTCGGTCTGGCAATTTATTAATGTTGATTTTAAACCAACAACCATGAAATATGGCTACCGACTAAAGAATAGTACGTCCTTCAAAGTGGATAGCAATCAATTCTTAATTAGAAACCAGGGACCTAAACAATGATTCCCGCTTCATCCATACCAAATCCAAATAGTGTACTTTCCTTCCCTTATCAAGCTCTAACCTGGCCAGTTAACCTCTTGCAGAGCCACGTTATCCAAATCGTACCCAATAATCTCATTCGTGGCCGATTTTAACCCACCTGCTGTGGGTTTGAGAACAGGATTAGGGGATTGGACATGACTAGGTATAGCATAATTGCAGTGCCTGAGTGTCCGAGAACCTGTATCCTGTTCAAGAATAGAATTAAGCTGATGCCTCGCCTCTGTGGCATCATTGTTTCAGAGACCTGGCAACAGCTCAACTAGCCCTTTCTGAGGGTAAGGATGGGGAGAGGATCATTGTGGCAGCAGGGTATCTCCCCTACGAAGAGGACATCCTGCAAATCTTACCCATTTCTCATCTTTCACATCTTCAGACTATAAACAAACATTTGTGTTATTTGTATTTATATTTTTAAATGTATATATTTTTGTAACTTACCCATTTCTCATCTTTCCATCATCTAATTTTTAAAAAAAGGATTGCCATAATTTTTATTATTATAAATTATCCCTAAAAACGCAATAATTTTATCTGTGTTATAATTGTTATTTGTATGTAGTTTCATAGATTCTGTTATAAATTTATTCACTTTAGTTATATTGTGGACTCTTCTCTAGGGAGAGCCTAGTTAGACACTGAACTAATTTTTACTGACAGGCAAAAAATTCCACCCACTTGATTTTTCCATGTTTTCATCTAAAAATATTTCTGCAAAGTTGTATTTGTATATAATACATGGTATTTGTAGATAATACTTAGTATTTATGGAATTTTATAATGTTTTTTACCTTTAATAATCAAAATGTGGTTGGGTAAGAAAGATTAGAGAAAAATAAATTGAAAAACGAACCATTATTATTCTAAAAGAAATTAATTGCATTATCGTTTAGTAGCGCGTGTTTCCTCCTCTTGCCTTCACTACTTCTTGAAGACGCCTCAGCAAACTTTCCACCAGTCGGGAAATGTCCCTTTGTTGGAGGATAGCCCATTCCTCTCGAAGAGCCCTTTCAAGGTACTGCAGTGTATCAGGAAGTGTTGCACGCACTCTTATTCGTCTTCCGAGGTTATCCCATAAATGCTCAATGGGGTTCAAATCTGGAGAACGTGCTGGCCAGTTTAAACCTCAATATTGTTCTGTTGAAGGAATGTCTGCACTATGCGGGCGACATGTGGGCGTGCATTAGAATAGAACGATGGCCGATTTCGTTGAGGATAGGCAACACATGAGGTTCCAAAATCTCATCTACATAGCGAATGGCCGTCAAAGACCCTCCACGAACAACAACCAATTCTGTGCGGCGCTCCATTTGTCCATAGTCCAATGGCTGTGTTCTCGAGCAAAAGCCAGTCGTGTTACTCTGTGAGTTCTGGTCAGCTCTGGTCCTCTTACTGGACGAACAGCCATTAATCCATACTCATTTAATCTTCTCTGAGCGGTACGTTCAGAAATGTGCACACCTCGAACTTCTTACGGTAAGGTGCCGGTTTCGTAAAATTCTCAAAGTCAAAAACCGGTCATCCCGTTGGTTCTGTTACCCTAGGCCGTCCAGAACTGGGCCTTCTATTGTAAGAACCAGTTTCCCGAAAACGCCTGATGGCGTCTCGTAAAGTTTCATATGGAACTCCGATGGCATTAGCTGCATATCTAGTGGAACGTCCATCATCAATAAGTGCCACACCACGCGCAACATCCTCAGCACTAAGAGGCATTTTTAAACTAAATATTGAAAAAATTAAAAGCCAGAGACTAAGAAATGTGCTGCAAGAAACAGCACTGAACTAATGATACTGAATAAACATTTTGATTCCATGATGATGGAAAGATAAGAAATAGGTAATATTGGCAAATCAGTTATTGATATGATAAGTTATAAAAATATATACAAATAATACAAATGTTTCTTGTTTTTAGTCTGAATATGGGATAATAAAGTGGATCCCGAAACGTCATAAAAATAAAGAATTTTTTTTGGTAGAATAAACTGTTATCTAACTTTATTTCATACACCTTAATAGTAGCTTTATTCATTGTTCATTTGGGGTAGGCAAGGACGAACAGGTCACTTGCCTGACTTGATCACCCCACCTCTTTCTAATACCAATAATAATAATGACATTTTTCCTTCCCCATATATACATATAATCTTTGCGTAAAACACTGTAAATCAATAAAATTTATTTTCCAAAAAAATTGTTTAATATATATACTTACTTATGAATTCTTCAATATTCATTAAAAGAGAAAGACGTGTAGCTCTATCATTTGAAGAAAATAATAGTACCAGAAATTGTTCTATATCACTTTTTAATTTTTCTTCAGTTGCTAAAGTAGGAATCTAAAATATGGAATTATTATTTTAAAAAAGTCTACAATGATACATACAATTGATGGATAATAAACATATAATTGGTAATTGGTTGAATGTCGTGGATAATGAAGAGAAGAATAGTTGGGGTGCTCAGTCAAAAAAGGAAGGCAAAAAATAAATTATAATATTTATTATAATTCGATAATAATAAATTCGATAAATAATAATAAATTCGAGGAATTTGATAATAAATATAACTTTTGGTTTATATAGCATTTCCAAGTCAATTTCAACCTTTTCCAAGTCAAATTCAACTTTTTCCAAATCAAATTAAACTTTTTCCAAGTCAAATTCAACCTTTTCCATTTCAAATTCAACCTTTTTTTATTTATTTAATTATCTTTAATTTTTCGATGCGTGGGTCTGTTATCGTATGAGTAGTTTTTTAAAATAATCTCCTTTTTAAGATTACGTGACTGCGTTTCGAATTATTTATGTTTTTTTTTACTTATTCGATATAAGGGTGTATTTTTATGTTTCCCGATCAGTAAATTTTTAAAATGACATCTATTTTATGTTTACGCCACTGTGGTTTGATTTATTTAAGTTTTTCGAATTTATCCAATATGAAGGTCTACTTTTTTGTTTCCGGAGCAGTAGATTTTGAAAACGACCTCCATTTTAAGATTAGGCCACCGCGTTTCGACTTATTTGAGTTTTTCGGATATTTTTCATATGAGGATGTATTTTTATGTATCCGGAGCTGTAGATTTTGAAAATGACCTCCATTTTAAGATTAGGCCACCGCGTTTCGACTTATTTGAGTTTTTCGGATATTTTTCATATGAGGGTGTATTTTTATGTATCCGGAGCTGTAGATTTTGAAAATGACCTCCATTTTAAGATTAGGCCACCGCGTTTCGACTTAGTTGAGTTTTTCGGATATTTTTCATATGAGGGTATATTTTTATGTTTCCGGAGCTGTAGATTTTGAAAATGACCTCCATTTTATGATTACGCCACTGCGTTTTGACTTATTTAAGTTTTTCGAATTTATCCAATATTAAGGTCTACTTTTATGTTTCTTGAGCCGTAGATTTTGAAAATGACATCCATTTAATGATGACGCCATTGCATTTTGACTTATTTAAGTTTTTCGAATTTATCCAATTTAAAGGTCTACTTTTATGTTTTCGGAACCGTAGATTCTGAAAATGACCTCTATTTTATGATTACGCAACTGCGTTTCAACTTATTTAAATTTTTAGAATTTAACAAGTATAAAGGTCTAATTTTATGTTTCTGGAGCAGTAGATTTCCCCCATTTTGTAAATGACCCAATTTAAAGTTTATACCACTGTTTTGGATTATAAAAGTTTTTTTTTTTTTTACTTTTTCGGTATAAGGATCTACTTATATGTTATATGTTGAAATTTTTCTAATCTTTAATATTTAAATTTATCTAATATTTAAGCTCCATTTTATGATTAAGCCGCTGCATCTTGATTAATTAGGCTTCATTTTGGATATTTTCAATACAAAGTTTCATCAATATGTTTTCGAGTATGAATAAATAAATAAATATTATGAAGCTAAAGTAAAATTAACCACAGAATACAAACTAAAAAGCCGAAAAGCAACTGGTAATAAATTTAACCTTCCGTATTCAGATTTTTCAGCTAATTGTTCGAAATCTTATAATTTTGTGATAGGAGACCACAACATTAAAAAAGATAACTAAAATTAAATTAAAAATGAGACAATACATATTTTATTTATTTTGATTAGATATTTTTATTTATTTATTGAAAAATAAATTAATCCTTCGTATTATGTTTTTTATTCGAAGGAAAAATCAAAAACACTTAACAAAACCGAAACACAGTGACCTAATCTTAAAATGGAGGTCATTTTCAAAATCTACAGCTCCGGATACATAAAAATACACCCTCATATGAAAAATATCCGAAAAAACTCAAATAAGTCGAAACGCGGTGGCCTAATCTTAAAATGGAGGTCATTTTCAAAATCTACAGCTCCGGATACATAAAAATACACCCTCATATGAAAAATATCCGAAAAACTCAAATAAGTCGAAACACAGTGGCCTAATCTTAAAATGTAAGTCGTTTTAAAAACTAAGCTCCGGATCATAAAAGTAGACCTTTAAATTGATAAATCGAAAAACTTGAATAAGCCGAAACGCAGTGGCCTAATCTTAAAATGGAGGTCATTTTCAAAATCTAGACTCCAGAAACATAAGAATACATCTTTTATGATAAAAATTCGAAAAACTTAAAGAAATCGAAATGCGGTGGCCTAATCTTAAAATGGAGGTCGTTTTCAAAATCTAAGGCTCCGGAAACATAAGAATACATCCTCATATGAAAAAAATCCGAAAAACTCAAAGAAATTGAAATGCGGTGGCCTAATCTTAAAATGGAGGTCGTTTTCAAAATCTACGGCTCCGGAAACATAAGAATACATCCTCATATGAAAAAAATCCGAAAAACTCAAATAAGTCGAAACGCGGTGCCTAATCTTAAAATGGAGGTCATTTTCAAAATCTACAGCTCCGGAAACATAAAAATACACCCTCATATGAAAAATATCCGAAAAACTCAAATAAGTCGAAACGCGGTGGCCTAATCTTAAAATGAAGGTCGTTTTCAAAATCTACGGCTCCGGAAACATAAAAGTAGACCTTTATATTGGATAAATTCTAAAAACTTAAATAAGTCAAAACACAGTGGCATAAACATAAAATGGATGTCATTTTCAAAATTTACTGATCGGGAAACATAAAAATACACCCACATATCGAATTTGTCAAAAAAACTTGAATGATTCGAAACGCAGTCACGTAATCTTAAAATGGAGGTTATTTTCAAAACTAGGTACAGGACAGCATAATACTAGTCCCTAAGAAATCCGAATAGGTACAATAAATCGATATCCGTAAGTGAAAATTCTACTTAGGAGAGCATAATAATAGACTTTCATATTGGAGGGGGGGAGGGGATGGCCATTATTTAAAAAAAAATATAAAATTTACAAAAACATAAAACATTATTTGAAATGAAAACGGTTGAATTTGAATTGGAAAAGGTTTAATTTGAAATGGAAATGGTTGAATTGACTTGGAAAAAGTTTGATTTGATCTGGAAAAGGTTGAATTTGACTTGGAAAAGGTTGAATTTGACTTGGAAATAATTGAATATCACATAGAAATATCACACTGAAAAAATCTAAAATGTTAAAATAAATGGATATGCAACTGCGTAATCAAATTTTTTTTTGTATTTTTTAAAAGCTATGCCGTCGATAATATAGTAAGTGGCCTTCATTTCGAAAAAAATCGAAAATTGACAAAAATTCAACCTTTTTTTATTTATTTAATTATCTTTAATTTTTCGATGTGTGGGTCTGTTATCGTATGAGTAGTTTTTTGAAAATAACCTCCTTTTTAAGATTACGTGACTGAGTTTCGAATTATTTAAGTTTTTTTGAATTATTCGATATAAGGGTGTATTTTTATGTTTCCCGATCAGTAAATTTTGAAAATGACATCCATTTATGTTTACGCCACTGTTTTGATTTATTTAAGTTTTTATAATTTATCCAATAAAGGTCTACTTTTATGTTTCTGGAGCCGTAGATTTTGAAAACGACCTCCATTTTAAGATTAGGCCACCGCGTTTCGACTTATTTGAGTTTTTCGGATATTTTTCATATGAGGGTTTATTTTTATGTTTCCGGAGCTGTAGATTTTGAAAATGACCTCCATTTTAAGATTAGGCCACCGCGTTTCGACTTATTTGAGTTTTTCGGATTTTTTCATATGAGGGTGTATTTTTATGTTTCCGGAGCTGTAGATTTTGAAAATGACCTCCATTTTAAGATTAGGCCACCGCGTTTCGACTTATTTGAGTTTTTCGGATATTTTTCATATGAGGGTGTATTTTTATGTTTCCGGAGCTGTAGATTTTGAAAATGACCTCCATTTTAAGATTAGGCCACCGCGTTTCGACTTATTTGAGTTTTTCGGATTTTTTCATATGAGGGTGTATTTTTATGTTTCCGGAGCTGTAGATTTTGAAAATGACCTCCATTTTAAGATTAGGCCACGCGTTTCGACTTATTTGAGTTTTTCGGAATTTTTCATATGAGTGTATTTTATGTTTCGGAGCTGTAGATTTTGAAAATGACCTCCATTTAATGATTACGCCATTGAATTTTGACTTATTTAAGTTTTTCGAATTTATCCAATTTAAAGGTCTACTTTTATGTTTTCGGAACCGTAGATTCTGAAAATGACCTCTATTTTATGATTACCACTGCGTTTCAACTTATTTAAGTTTTTAGAATTTAACAAGTATAAAGGTCTAATTTTATGTTTCTGGAGCAGTAGATTTCCCCCATTTTGTAAATGACCCAATTTAAGTTTATGCCACTGTGTTTTGGATTATAAAAGTTTTTTTTTTTACTTTTTCGGTATAAGATCTACTTATATGTTATCCGAGACACATTGAAATTTTTCTAATCTTTAATATTTAAATTTATCTAATATTTAAGCTCCATTTTATGATTAAGCCGCTGCATCTCGAATAATTAGGCTTCATTTTGGATTTTTTCAATACAAAGTTTCATCAATATGTTTTCGAGTATGAATAAATAAATAAATATTATGAAGCTAAAGTTAAATTAACCACAGAATACAAACTAAAAAGCCGAAAAGCAGCTGGTAATAAATTTAACCTTCAGATTTTTCAGCTAATTGTTCGAAATCTTATAATTTTGTGACAGGAGACCACAACATTAAAAAAGATAACTAAAATTAAATTAAAAATGAGACAATACATATTTTATTTATTTTGATTAGATATTTTTATTTATTTATTGAAAAATAAATTAATCCTTCTATTTTGTTTTTTATTCGAAGGAAAAATCAAAAACACTTAAAAAAACCGAAACACAGTGGCCTAATCTTAAAATGTAAGTCGTTTTAAAAACTAAGGCTCGGCATCATAAAAGTAGACCTTTAATTGGATAAATTCGAAAAACTTGAATAAGCCGAAACGCAGTGGCGTAATCTTAAAATGGAGGTCATTTTCAAAATCTACAGCTCCGGAAACATAAAATACACCCTCATATGAAAAATATCGAAAAACTCAAATAAGTCGAAAGCGGTGGCCTAATCTTAAAATGGAGGTCATTTTCAAAATCTACAGCTCCGGAAACATAAAATACACCCTCATATGAAAAATATCCGAAAACTCAAATAAGTCGAAACGCGGTGGCCTAATCTTAAAATGGAGGTCATTTTCAAAATCAACAGCTCCGGAAACATAAAAATACACCCTCATATGAAAAAATCCGAAAAACTCAAATAAGTCGAAACGCGGTGGCCTAATCTTAAAATGGAGGTCATTTTCAAAATCTACAGCTCCGGAAACATAAAAAACCTATATGAAAAATATCGAAAAACTCAAATAAGTCGAAACGCGGTGGCTAATCTTAAAATGGATCATTTTCAAAATTTACTGATCGGGAAACATAAAAATACACCCTATATCGAATAATTAAAAAAAACTTAAATAATTCGAAACGCAGTCACGTAATCTTAAAAGGGGTTATTTTCAAAACTAGGTACAGGACAGCATAATACTAGTCCCTAATAAATCCGAATAGTACAATAAATCGATATCCGTAAGTGAAAATTCTACTTAGAAGAGCATAATAATAGACTTTCATATTGGAGGGGGGGAGGGGATGGCCATTATTTAAAAAAAAAATATAAGATTTACAAAAAATTAAAACATTAATTTGAAATGAAAACGGTTGAATTTGAATTGGAAAAGGTTTAATTTGAAATGGAAATGGTTGAATTGACTTGGAAAAAGTTTGATTTGATCTGGAAAAGGTTGAATTTGACTTGGAAAAGGTTGAATTTGACTTGGAAATGACATAGAAATATCACACTGAAAAAATCTAAAATGTTAAAATAAATGGATATGCAACCGCGTTATCAAATTTTTTTTTGTTTTTCAAAAGCTATACCTTCGTTAATATAGTAAGTGGCCTTCATTTCGAAAAAAATCGAAAATTGACAAAAATTCGAAAGTTGAATTTGAAATGGAAAAGGTTGAATTTGACTTGGAAAAGGTTAATTTGAAATGGAAAAGGTTTAATTTGACTTGGAAAAGGTTGAATTTGATTTGGAAAAGGTTGAAATTGACTTGGAAATGCTATAGATAAAATGTCTGTTTATATTCATACAAAAATATATAAACAAAAGACATATATTTCCTAAAACGTAGTAGAAGAAATAAACCTGAAGAAAGTTAGACTATTTCTATGAATATTCAAGGCATTTCTGTAGTAAAAAAATAACATTATGAACTATTATAATGATCAAGATTTAGTTTCCTATGTACTGCTTAGGGAATTCCATGTCTCCCAACACTTATTGTTACGATCTTGTAGGGGTAGGGCCTGTGACAGTGAGGAATTATATTTATTTTGATGGTCCCAGTTAAATACCCAAGCCAGATGCTTGATCTGATGTTGAGTGGCAAAAGGACAGTGAAAATAAAATTTCTTTTACTCACTTGGGAAACCAGGTGCCCTCCTTATTTTATTCAGTTCCCATCCACTGCTAGGAGAAAAGGAACACACTCAAAAATAAAATAAATTTTTATGCCATTAAAACCCATAAAAATCCTTTAAATAGGCAGAAATAATGCAATTAAATGACCAAAATTTCTATTATTATTGTAAAATCTTAATGTAATTAAAAATTAAATAAAACAAAAATAATCATTTATTAAAATTATAATTAATGCTGAGGTTAGGGAAAGAAAAAGGTAAAATAAAATTAATACTACACATGAAAGAAAAATAATCATTGAAAAAAAATCCTACTCCAGCTCTTCTAAAGGTAATATAATATAATTTTTATATCAAGGTAGAGAAATACAAGAACATTGCATGGCTGCTCAACTGTGTTGAGTTGCTAAATAACACAGAACAAAAGTGTTCCTGCGAGATGTCAGGAGATTATTTCTTTAAATAGATAAAGATTAAATATATTTGTTAAATGTTTACTATTATCTATTTATAAGGTTCAAATAGACTTTAAAGCCCAGAGGCAATACAATCCCCATTACTGGTGTATTAACAAATATAATAATAATAAAATGATAACAATAAAGAAAAAATACATAATACAGAACATTCAAAATAGAATATTATCCTACCCTACCAATGGCACTAGTAAGTCCCATTTTCTCATAAATAAAAATAAAAACAATTAACAGTTGAAAAGTAATTTTAATTGTTATCCAAATCAATAATTGAAGCATTAAAATTTTTCCATGTTTACTCCCTCATTTAAAGATTTACAATACATGGCGGTTAAATTGAGACAAAAAATATATATGGGTAGATAAAGTAAACATAATTTAAATAATGTAATTCAACCACATTGAACAAACCTTTGCAACAATTGGTACTAAGTAAGCACTACTTTCAGAATCAAATCCGTGTGCCTGTTTCAGCAATGATAATATTTTATTTAAAACAATATCCTTAGGAATCATTGGTAATAATGCAAGCAAATCTTTGGCAATTTTCCCTTTTATGTCCTTATCTTTAAGATGATAGTTGCTAAGAGCATCAAGGGTATTGAACAAAGCATTGTGACACGTGCAACTAAAAAAAAAAAAGATAATAAAAAGTATGAAGTAAAAAAAAAAAAAAGCACTAGTTCTAATACAATATAATAAAATAATGCACCTATGATTAAAATATATATTTAGAGAAATGAAAATTAAAAACAACCAACATAAAATATTTCCTCTCCTTTGTAAAAATCAATAATTGTTTGTGGCTGTTTAGATTGCCTTATGTGCCAACTAAATTCTAAACTAGTAAACAATTTTTTCTCACCCAGATTAAAATTTCTTAATCACTGTGGCAGATATCAACTATTTCTTCTAAGCTAGGAAATATTGTTTATTACTCTTGATTCAGTATATACTATTCTAAAGAAAGTTATAAGAAAGAAAATAATCGTTATTCTGGAGCTATTGCTCCCAAATAATAATTAGAATGAACAAATAATATGACACAATTAAAAATAGAATATTATAAAAATGGAAAATTTCTTTTGAAAATTATTTCTCACTGATAAAATCTCAGAAAATAATTAAAAACTAATCTAACCAAATAAGCAAAAGAAAAAACAACTATTAATTATCAATACTATTGTAAATTTATTTTTCCAATCCTTCCGGAGGGTAGTCTGATTGAACACAGGTCAAAAAGGACAAGATTTGAAAGTTATTCAAGAAATTAAAAGGAAGAATGACTTGAGGTTAGGTTATGATGGCTGAAGTTTTCAAAGTGTAAACTTTAACATTCTCGAGTCTAGTGAATCTGGTTCAAATTCGGCATGGGTGGGTTGAAATTTATTTTGTGGTGGACTCACAAAATGAATATTGTCCTTCCCACCCTAGTTAGAATAGGTTGGGATGTACCTCTAAAACAAACCCCCCTCCAAAGTATGCCAGAAATGTTGAGGTAGGGGGTAATCGAAAAAAAAAAAAAGTAAAAAGTTAAGTATTGGTTAAACAGACTACTATGTTAGGTTTTTAGGAGAACTCTTTGATGATTATTAAGGAGACAGATAAAATATTGTGAGGAAAGAAAAAATTCTTTTATACAGTTTCATATTGTTCTATAAGTATAAGTTATAGAAAACAAACAATATTTCTGAACTTTGAAGAAATAGATGAAATTAGTATTTCATTTCTTAAAAAGATACTATGTTTTAGTAAAATTATAGTATTTATTCAAAACTATTTTTATTGTAAAAAAATATTGGTATTGATGATCCTAAAGTTTTTGAGAGAATTCTTGATTGTTTTATTATTCAAGGATGCTACCTTTATTTGGAAAATATATAATAATAAAACTGATTTCTTCCATAGGGTAGGTATAATAAAAATACATATACATATTCCATGATATTTGAGCAATCTAGGCAAATCTTTTAATTCTTCAAATTTCTCAAAGACAGCAATAATTTCTTTATATTCAAAGAGAAGCATTCCGTTTATAGTAATAAATGATTTAAGTTCCACATATATGTAGGTCTACACTGGATTATACTTTAAATAAATAATCTTTCAAATCAGTTTTGCAGTCCACATTAAAGCAGTGGGGTTTTTTGCTTTATTTGCTATCAGACTATAGGAATATTTAATGAACAGATTTTCTATTCTTGGTCACAATTTTAAAATCCTCATAAATAACTCAGTGGGAATCTTCAGAGCTTTAAAAACTAAGATAAAAACAAAACAATTTTTTCCTTTTTCAAAAGCAGTGGTCAGAATCAATGTTAATAAAAATTATAGGGAGAATTGGTTTATCTGGTTCAAACTGAGTCCATTAGCAGAGCGCTTGAGCGCTTATGCAACTTTAGTGCAATACATATGTCATTGCACATTGTTACAGAGAATTCATTTCTGAACCAATAAAAAGAACAAAGTAATTGAAGATACCTTAAAGATATTGAAGTCATGGAATTAACTATAATTATCCTGAATGAAACCTCTCAATAATGTTTAAAAGTTACTTTTATGAGAATAGACCCGATTATTTTATTTTAAAAAAAAATCTTAGATAACAAGTTTCAGTGATGAGAGAGAGATAAAAAAGATGTTTACCTCTTTATGAAGCTTTCAATAATCTCTTTGTCATATTCTCTCTGGTGAAGAAGTTGATTAAAAATTTTTATCAAGTCAGAAGGTATCTAAAATAGAGAAAATAGAAAATAAATACAACAGATTGATAAACAGCCTTTATCAGGTGTCACAATTGAAACATAAATAGCTACATCTGGGATGAAAAGGACCACGATTGTAAATTAGAAAAGATTTTATTTGACTTCGAGAAGGTTAAATATGACTAAAACGTTTAACTAACTACAAATTTGTTGATATTATATTGTTATTATCAAAAGTGATATATTATTCCAATAGTACCTTATCTTTATATTCAAAAGATTTAACAATATTCAGCATTTCAAGAAGTAGTAGCTCTTTCACAATCTAATATAATTACAGAATCATAACAGATCTGGGCAAAAAGTATTTAAAATACGAGTATTTTGTGTCTTTAAAATACAGTGTATTTTAAATACCATGTATTTAAAATATTTACAGAAAAGTATTTTAAAAACAAAATCCTTTTCATATTTTTATTTAAAATACAAATACAAAATACTCCATAATACGGAAAAGTCTAAACGTAACTTTAGTCATAACTGTGATGGAGGAAAATCATTTGAGATGGTTTGGTCATGCCTCTCGAATGCCAGAGAATCGAATGGCCAGAATAGCGTTGGAAAGTAAAGTGGAGGGAAGAAGACCTCAGGGAAGGCCCAAGAAGACCTGGGAGGTCAGTGTCAAGGAGGCCTTTGACAGAAGGGATATTGACTGGAGGAGGAGGCGGCAGTTAGCTCAAATATAACAATGATTTATATTTAAATTATTGTTTTATTAATATGTAAGATATGGCTGGCAACACTGAGTGACCTAGCGGGTTACTCGGACCTTCTAGATCTAGGTGACTGAGAGGTTTTTTCGTTGTATTGTTTATTATGGAATGTAACGCTATTATTAATATGTACGATGTGCCACGTTTTGAGGTGTGATAAAGACTTTGTATTTTATCTGATGTTATCCTCTTAATCCTTAACAGTATCTCTAAGGAGAAATTCTTTAAAATCATATAAATAAAAATACACTTGTTTTTCACAATTATATATCTATCGATAATAAACTCTTTCATATTTCCAATGAAAACATCATAGAACATTCCATAATTTCTAAATACCTACCAGCTCTGTTGCTAAAGATAATTGTATAAAATACTTAGCACCACCAGCCTTAAAAAAATTTCTAGCTCGATTTTCATGGGTGAGTTCTAGTAAACGATTAGCCTTACTACATAACTTAAAGGTGCCTTCTTAATTGATAACGTATTTTATGTATTTAAAATTAAAAATAGAATACATTTTATGTATTTTGTATTTTAGAACTAAAATGCAAATAAATTTCAATGTATTTTGTATTTTCAAAAGAAAATAAAGTTACTAACAATGTATATTTTACTTCTTAAAATACAAAAAATGTATTTTATTTTGTATTTTAAAATACTGCCCAAGACTGCTACATAACTTCATCTACATTTAATCTGATGCTGAGAAATAATTTGGATTCAGTGTTAAGGAAAATTGTAATAAAAAAATAAATTATTATTATTTAGGTCTTGCGGAAATCTTTCGTTTGACTTGCCCTGAACTTTAGGCCGAAATGACGGCTAAAATAAAAAAAATATTACTATTTATATGCTTATTTATATGCGCTATGCTTCATTATTAGAGAAAAATTACTATACCAAAGAATACTTTGTTATAATAGAATTTATTCCACTTAATTTAAATTTAAATTCCACTTAAAATGTACGATTCATCTTCGGGATCCCAAGGGACGCCTCTGTTTCCCATCTTTACGCGGAGTTAAATTGGCTTTATCCTTCCTACCGTCGTAAGTATTTCCTGGCATCCTTCCTCTTTCAAGTCATCCAATCCCACCGTCCCTCATACATCTCCGAGCTCCTTCAATTCAAATCCTCTGTTCGTTCCCGGTCTTCTGATTTATACATAAGGGCCCACAGAACCGCTGCTTTCGACAAATCGTTCATTATCCGATCCTCATCTCTATGGAACTCCATCCCTTCCCATATCCGTCAATCTAATACCCTTCCTACCTTTAAATCCCGCCTGTTCAATCATTTCTTATCCATCCAGTCCCCATAAAATCGTAAATAGATACTACTGAAAATATGTACATAAGTTATTAATTCGTTCTTCATTATTTGTTCTCCAATTTTTGTTTATCTATTTTTTTTTTTTTCTCTTTTATTATCAACTGATCAAAATTGGAAAGCAACTTATATGTATATGTGTATATATATATATATATATATATATATATATATTATATATATATATATATATTACTTTTTTAACCAAGACTGTTCAATTACTCTGTATTTTTATTTATATATCTCTGAGGCTCCTTAGCCCTCATTTCTGTCTTCCTGTATTATTCTAAAGGGACTCGTCCCAGAATAAATAAAGTATTATTATTATTATTATTATTATTAAATGATCATATTACCTTTTTTGGTTTAGCAAGGCTTTTTAAAGAATCTAATTCACCATTAAAAGTTTCCCAAAGTAATACACCTAAGCTCCAATTATCAATGGACCTGAAACAATATAACAGAGAGGAATTTGTAAAATATGAATAAAATGAAGTTTCAGTAATCTGAGCTTTGATAATATGAGTTCTTTTTTACAACTTTATTATTTTAATTCTCTAAAAATTCTTTCAAAATTATAAAACATTTAATTAACCTTTTTAAATGTTTGTAAATATAAAAACCTGTACCACTACAACACATTAAAGGTCTTGGGTCCAGTAATTTGTAAGGAAGTACTGTTTCTAGGCCAACAGTTGTGCAGGGAGGTAATACACCTGGGATATCACTCACAACTGCCAGATTTCCCCTTTAATTAAGGGTACCCACCTTATAGAGGCTGGATGTGCACCAAGAGGATCTCCTGCTCTCAGCATAAATCCATGGAGAATCAAACAGAATAAATAATTATCTGCCTCAGCAAGGAGTGATAGTTGATATTATTTAGGGCTTAGAGGCGTAAAACTCAAGTATAATAATAAATTATAATGGAAAACAAAAACAAAAAGAAAACTGAAATTTAAATTTTGTTTAGCAAATCGTTAGCTTTCAGAAAATGTATAACCAATCTTATTTTAACTTCATCATTATTTAAAACAACTGATGATTATGGTATGAGTAATAATTTGGTAAGAATTGATACTTAATAAGGACATCGGCGAGCTCTTGAAGAATGTGGCTGATTGTGAAAGTACAGTAGCAGTGTTGGCATTTTTTACAGGCAGTTTGACAATCAGATAAAAATGTGTTATGTTTGTATGTCCCATCCTTAGTCTGGGTAAAGCAACTTCATCTCTACAAATAGGGAGGTTCAAGGTAGACCATGGTTTTACTGATTGTTTGATTTTTTCAATTTGCTTGGCGGGCTCTTGTTCCACATGGATTGTCTGCCAAGAGCTATTTCCTTTTTGAGGAGAAGGATTGTGATACATGGTATTTAAATGGCAGCACCCCTGCCTGGAAGTATGAGTGCTTATTTGGCTGCCATGTCCACAAGCCTATGTGGTTTGCCACCCAGATAAGGGAGTGATAGTGATCGTGTCTGGTGTAACTAACATACATGCTCCCTGGATATCTTTTGAATATTGAAACAAAAAAGGAAAGCCCAATCCATCCTTACACGAATAACAAAAAGGTCATCAACAAACAGTATTTTAAAAAACCTTGACCACAGCAATCTCAAGATAATAACTTCGAATGTGGGTTGTTTGACTAATGACAAATTAATTGAGTTCAGAAAGATAATTTCAAATGAAGAATCAGATGTTTATAGGATGGAGGCCAGGATTGCTTAATAATCTTTAAACTTTTTTAAGCACCCTGCTTACCAGACCTGTACACAACCAAGACAGACTATATTCATCAGGAATTATAATAGCTGCAAAGCAGTCACATTCATTTTAATGTTAAAAAGTTATGACTGATGCAGATAAGATGGAAGCTGTAGAATTGGAAAAATGGAAGAACAGCAAGCAACGGCACATCTTTTTTTGCATATAATCGACCAAGAAATGAGCCCAAACATGACTGGCTCAAAGCAAACTGAGACTCAAGATGTATTCTCTGTGGGCGAACTCAATGCCCCCTTAACACGATGGGGTTATGTCTCCAGAGATAGAGACAGAAGAATAATGGAAGAGTTCATTGACTCTGACTTCATGTTGAAAATAATGCTTCTGCCTCTATCTTTCTATCTTATTCAGGAAATAGATATCATCCCAATATAGTCCTTACACACATTTCTTTGAAATCCATTTTAAAAAATGAAGTTTTATCTGCACCAGAAGGATTTGGACACAGTATTTTAGCAATTAAATTCACTGATAACCAAAAAGAAAAAAAATACAAATCAATAAATTGAAGTGGGACCTGAGGAAAGCCAACTGGGATGTTTACTTTAACTAACTGAGGAACTATTCACTCGAAGACTCATCAAAGGAAACTCTGACTCCTCCCTTAGCAAGATTACAAAGGTACTCTTTAAAACAGCACCAACAGGAAGGATGAAGAGGCTAGAAAAACTAAAAAACAAAAAAAGTGAGATAAAGCAAGATTAATGGCACAAAGTGGAGTGGCTCAAGATATTTTTAAGTTACAACATAAGACTACATTATCAAAAAATAAATATAATGGAAGCTAAAAGAACTTCATACAAGTTGTTCCTCTAAAATCTAAAATTACATTCAATAATCATATGAAACATGGAAATTAACACGCTTTAATGGAAATTAACAATTAACAAGCTTCTTAACACTGACCAAAAAATATCGAACTACTTCAGTAAACACAATATGGAGATAATCGATTTCACAATCAATGCAATAATGAAACTCCTACTATTCAAATCCCTTAAGCATGCTTAAATAAAGAAGAAACAGTCCTATTTAAAAGTGACTTTAGTTTGGCAGAAATGGAGGCAAAGATGGAAAGAGAGCCAGATAATGCACTGCCTGGATTCCTCATCCATCTTGACTGCAAAAAAGGTGGGGATTTGATTCCTCAACAAGATGTGGTAATCTTATGAGCCTTGTGAATGGAGAAAAGCTGAAATAATCCCAATCATAAAGAAAGGAAAACCTGCTGATTGTGTGGAAAACTAGAGACCAATAGCATTCACTAGTGTCTTTTGTAAGTTACTTGAAAAGATGGCATTGAAGAGATTACAAACTCATATAGAAAAGCATAGGCTCATCTCAGACAAACAAGCAGGATTTAGACGACATGGAACGACCATAGAACATGGACTACAATACACAAAAGATGAGATTACCACAAAAAAAGTTCACTCACAGTTTTCATAGTCTTCAAAACTGCATTTGATAAGATTTGGAAGAAGAAACTCCTCGAAAAGCTGTTAAAAAAGGTTTGGAGGGCAATTTGTTTAAATATATTATATGTTTCTTAGACCAAAGATTTACCGTGTCAGCTATAGACAAGGAACATCCAAATACAAGCTGATAAAACAAGGCCTTCCACAAGGTTCAGTCCTTAGCCCAACTCTGTTCCGTATAATGATAGATGATCTCATATAGACTCTAGTCAATACCAGGAATTAAAGTACTTATGTATACTGACGACCTTTGGGCAATGAGCAGTCACATAGAGGCATTAGAAATTTACTTGAATAAAGCACTTGAAAAACTCCAGCAATGGGCTGAGGAGAATAAGATGTGTGCTTCAAATATACTGCTGACCGTGTGCTTCAAATATTTTTGGAAAACATTCGATTCGGCATAAATTTATCAAAAGCATCAGATGCACTGTACCTGCAATGCCAAAGGATGATGGCTCAGGTCTTTGTATGAAAGAACTCTTGGTCAACCACGATCAAGGAAATTGATAATGGTTAATTTAGTTGGGAAATAAAAGATAACTACATTTACGCAAAAATGAAAACGAAAGGAAACCTAGCCCACACATTGGTTGAGCCATGTAAATGACATTCAATGATAAAAAATAATTTATCATGCATAACATTTCGCAAGTTTCAAGAATTAATATGTGAAAATAAATGATAAAAGCAATTCCGAGGGATTATATAAAGTTATGTTCATGTTTTATTTACATAAATTTTTATTTTCAATTAGAATATTAGTTATTCAGAAAATTTATGGCAAAATTAAAATTGTATTTAAAATATAAAAATTTATATTTGGCTTTTTTTGTATTTTAACATATTTTTTTCTTATTTTGACATTGATTATTTTAAACTTACTTTTTCTTAATGTGATATTGGTTTTTTAAAAAAACCAATATCACAGCATGATTTAGCACCAAAAAGTACATAGAAATCATGGGTCACATGTTGTATTTAAGAAAATGGAAAATATTGCTTTTTACGAAAATTGCTTATTATGTACAATATTATAACTCAATTTAGGTGTTTATTGTTCATGAAATATGATTTGGACTCCAAATATGAAAAAATATGAGGATCTTAATTAGGGAAAATAAGGTTGATAAAGATTGCACACCACACATTAGCGCATAGTCTTTAAATTTGAATTTCACATGAAAAATTAAGGATAGTTAATTAGAATCATTTTGATCTATCATATAAAATAAGAAAAATAAATGAGAAGATATATTTAGGAGAACCCTCAATAAAACTTCGCGCTCGATTTACTCACTCTGTTTAATTAATAGCAAAAAATATGAAATTACACAAATTTCTTAACATTACCACACAAACAATTTGAGACCAAATTCTAGTCTCTACGATGATTGATTGTCGAGTTATAGGGTTTAGATGCAGAGTGGCACGTTGAGACTTCCGCCTTCCCTCCAGCCTAAACCTACCACATTCAGAAGTGGCAACATCCAGTTTTCTATTTAGTAGAGCATCCAGAGAAGAATCTGAAGAAAAACCATGGTGCGGATATTTACATACTCAATCGCACTCACCGCCTAGGCTATACAAGATAATGACCAATATCCTACTAAACCGAATATATCCGTATTATGAAAATATATTAGGCAGGCACCAAGCTAGATTCAGAAAAGGAAGGAGTATAATAGACCAGATCATCATCCTAAATCACTTGAAAAACAATAGGAAGTAGTTGGAGGTCCACGCCCTATCAGTTGATTTTAAAGCAGCGTATGATTCTAGGGACAGGAATTGTCTTTAGAAAATCATGGCTGAAATAGGAGTTCACGTTTAGTTGGTGAGATTGATAAAGGCTTGTACAAATGTCTCTAATATCAATCCTAATGCAAGGTGAAGTATCCAAAGCCTTCAAAGTTCGAAAAGGCTTATAGCAGAGAGATGGACTATCACCGAAGTTGTTTAACTTAGCCCTGGAGAAGGTGATAAGAACAACATCAAGCAAAAATGGCAAAAATGAATCATAAAATTCTTGGATATACAGATGATATAGCTGTCCTTGGAAGTACCAAGAGGACATTGAGAAACTTGCTAAGACTCTGATAAGAGAGGTAGAGCAAATAAGCCTACAAGTAAATGAAGACAAAACAAAATATATGATAAGCCAAAAATTTTACCCGAATAACAGGATCTGCATAGAAGAGAAATCGTTAAAGAGAGTAGAAACATTCAAATACCTCAGTGAATAACCAACAGTGAGAAATAGACCAGCATATAACTAGCGCAAACAGAGCTTTCTTTTCTATTTTAAAGGTATTAAAATCTCAAATTAAGAGTGTACATTGCTATGATAAAGCCAGTTCTAATATATGGCTATGATACCTGGACACTAACCAGCACCCTAGAAAAAAGGATTGTAAGATTTGAGAGAAAAATCTTCTGCAGGATAACTGGAGTAATCTGGGATCAGAGTACTAACACATGGAGAAGAACGACCAATAAAGAACCGCTTACATAAACTGTTCAATCAATATTCCATGGTGTGAAGGCACGGAGGTTGAGATGGGGGGGACATGTAGCTCGTAGCAATCCATCTGGAAACCTCTACATAACAATGAATGACTCAATAGAAGGCCAAAAAGCAGATAGATAGATAAAATCAACAAAGATGCATCAGAGCTGCGTGTAGATGATTGGAAAGATATAGCCCAAGACAGGCAGAGATGGAGCAGGCTTGTTAAGATGGCAAAAGATCTACAAGGTCTGTAATGCCAACAGAATAAAAAACTCACCTGGATGGCAATATTTGGACGAAACAGAAAATCTTATAAGCCACAATAATTCTACCAAGATTACTCACCAAGCATTGACCCAATTATATAATACGCTTATTCATTAAGGATATCTATTTCCTCATAAAGACACCTATAACGGAAAATGGTCAGCCTCGGGGAGAGATCCAAGTAATCAAATTGATCATGTACTAATGGCTGATTAATTCTATAAAACAAGCTCAGGGTGATGCAGAAATTCCATTGTTTTGTTGGAGTGATTTAACCAATGCTCTTTCTTGGATTACAAAGGAAGGTATCTGGACCACCTTCGCACAAAACAGAGTTAAGGAAATTAAAAAAAAAATTGTAATAAAAAATTGTGGAAATATGTGCAAGAAGAGCAGAACCCAGCAGCTCTCCCCTCTTGTAGATGAGTAGCCACTAAATTAATTAATGAGAGATGGTGTTTGAATGGGCTACTGAAGGTGGGAAAATCTTAGAAAGAGGAGTATGAGAAATCTAGGAGGCTGGTGCTTGGAGAGAAGGTTAAGCAAGAAGGATCTAACTAACTATGTATGTTATGTTTCTTATAAGACTTTTGGTTGTGTTTCATGCCAGTCCATATGAATAAATTTGGTGCATTTTGTTATTGAGAGAAAATAAATATATATGTCAGGACTTTTTAATTATCATGGTTCTTTCTTAATTTTAATTCCTTCGAAAGTATTCATAATTTTGTACCTGCTAGCACCAATGATACCCCTTAATTCATACCTCATTGTAAGAAATATATCTTAAAATCTGAAAAAAAGAAGGGATTACAGTCCCATCAAGAATAACCTAGTTGAAATAAATTAGCTTGAGCAAAACAAGTAAGAAATTTAAAATATTAGATTACCAAACTGAAGATTTAAGCATTTCTTCGGGTGGATTATACTTCCTCATTCCTTCAGTGTGTTTATACGGATAGCTTGATTTCAGAGAGCTAATGTATCCAACTTCTCCAAGTTGCCAAAAACCATGATCATTAACAAAAACAGAACCATGGAAGATATTATTATGACGTAAGTCGGCATTGTTTAGAAATGCAACTGCTTCCTATGAACAACAAAATATTTCTGAAATTATATAGTATACACAAGAACCAAACATTTTATTCATAACAGTTTTTAGAGTGAAATATTAATGTCTACCACATTTAGAAATAAAAATATCAACTTTAACCTGGGAAAATGTCCATTAAGAAAAACAATATTGTACATACAAATGAGGGAGAGGGAGAGGGAGAGGGGGGAGGGAGGTAGGGAGAGAGGGAGAGATTGATTGATTGATCTTTTTATTGTCTTAGGGCCTAGGGACTTTTCTTACAGACAAGAATAAAGTGACATATTTGAATTAACATTTTTCAATAGAATATACAATATACAATGTTACTTATTTATAATAATTTTTACAATTTGATTTTAATGTTAGTAGTATAAAATAAAAAATGAAATATGATAAAAGAAAGAAAGAGAGAGAAAAGAAAATTAGAGAAATTATAGGTGATACTACAGAGTCAAGAACTGGAAAGAATATAACGAAATTAAATAAATAAATTAAAAGTGCAAGGGGGAGGGGAAGAAGAGTAATTGCAAGAACATTGAATCTTCATGGCGCACAGGAATCGCTTGAGACAAGCATTGTGGAAGAAGGATTCCGTCTTACCACTACCAGAAGCAAGTTGAGCTCTCTCGTCACTACTGCGTGGAAAGAGTTCCCTTGAAATTTCTGTTCTACAGGCTGGCAGCCGGAATGCTCCTTATAATCTTTCACTTTGTCTAGTAATCCTTTCCTTAGATCTTTAGGTTCACCAGAGTCCAGAACTTTTCTTGCTAGGCACATCAAATTGATGTCTTCGATAATCCTTTGATCTCAACTAGCCTAGTGTATTTATTTACAGAGTGATATGGTCTTTCCTTTTTATACTCAATATATAACCAGTAGCAGCGTTGAGTGCTCTCTGAACTCTGGCATCTTCCGATTCCGATATGTCAATGTACACCGAGTCACAATACCAGAGGAAGGATTAGCGTGCAGACAGTTTTCTTTTTGACTTAAGTGGACAAAAATCGCTTCCACCTAGAAAGGGAATGTATAACTCCGTATATCCGGCTTATTACAAGGCTGGCATGATCACGCCATGACAAGGAGCCACCGATCATAACTCCAAGTACTCTTATATTTCTAGATCGGGGTATCACACTATCCATGATCATCAACGGGGTCAACAAAACATTCTTCTTAGCTTTTACAACCAGTTTGGGACTACCAATCAGCATTTCTTCATATTGGGCAAGCAACATCACCATTAGTTGATGCACTGATTGAATTTAATTCTGCTATTTCTTATGACTATCTCCAGAATATTGATGAGTGTGTTGACTGTTTCTTTCTGAAGATTTATTTTCAGGTTTTCTAAAGAATTGATTACTGGTTTGAGAGAGGACCAAATGGCGTAATATTGAAGCAATTTTGGAAGGTGTGCTGTGTTAAAAACAGTGGACGGTCATTGGGAAATTACGCCTTTAATATTTTATACGTACAGTAAATGTATACTGCTCGCTACTCAAACACATGAGAGTGACTGAGCCACAAGGTCACACAACTTTAGGATTCTCTACCTAAAATGAGATTGTGAAAAGAAACAGTTGCTGGATAAGTGAAAGTCAAGAATGGTTTTGAAAAAAAGGCATAGAAAGAAACAGGAAATGAATAGAGATAACTCCAAGCCTAACATCACAAAGGCAATAGTGAGAGAGAGAGAGGGAGAGAAAAACAAACAAATAAGCAAAGGAAATAAAATTCATTATACTTACACCAATTGTTGCTAATCCCCATTTCAAATACATTTCTCCATTTTGCTCTGAGTCCAATGTTTTCAGATAAACCAACAAAGGAATGCAACGGTTAGTAACAATGTGAATCACATTTTCATCCTAAAATAAATTATAGTAAAAATATTATTATTAAACAGAGATAACAACAATATTGGGCTGCAGTGCATGAAATTGAGTTTCTAAGGTACAAGAAAAATAGATGGAAAACAAACTTTAGTATCATTTTTATTCGAAATATCTTCTATTTGCTTCAATATATTTCTCTTAAGGCCTTTTTTTGAGTTTTGAACCAATAAACAAAGAAATTAAAATTTTACCTTGTTTTATTTTTTATTGTTTTTTTTTTTATATATCCATCAAGAACTTGAAAAAATGGCAATTTTCAGATTACGTGATTTTTTAAAAAGTCATCTAACAAAAATATTATGTAGGTACATTATATTATCTGAAAATTGATGTTCTACCAGATCCCCCATATTCAACCTGATTTGTCAATAACTTGCTACCATTTTTTCAAACCACCCATCCTTCCTTCACCTGCATATTTTTTTATCTTGCTGCTTCTCTTCTTTTTATCTGCTTTCCTTTATTTTGAAAAAAAAAAAAAAAAAAAACCAAAGAGTAACGGGACAAGGTAAGGTTTGGATTATCAGAGGAGCATGATTTTTAATATGGATAGTAGATTAGAGATAAAGATGGAAACCATAGAATGATAAGAATATATGATATTCCCAATAGCCAGAATCCACGCCAGAAAGAAGGGATTTATAGCAAAGGAGGTTCAAACTACAAGATATCACTTAAAAACTAAAGGATTTAATGGGCAGGTAATTCAAAATCTGGATAAGATCAGGTGATTTGGATTCAAAGGAAGGGGACAGGAAGCTGAGAAGAGAAAAGTATTAATATGGAAGATCAGAGATACAAAGGTCTAATCATGAGTCAAAGTTTTAAATAGTAATTTTATAATAGTAAAAAACTATTTTAACTATTAAAGTTTTATGATGAAGAGCAAATTCCATAAATCATACCTCATAACTGTTCAAATAAGTTAGAATCGCTGGATGTTTCAGAGTTTTCAATCGTTTAATAGCTGATTTGACATGTTCCAATAAGTCTTGATTCCCTGATTTTTTATTATAGGTGAAAATACTGACTTTTTCACCAGTGCCCTAAAACAGAAATATTAATTAAATCATATAAAAGTAAATAAATTAACCACGGAAGTAATTATAGTCAACTTAAAAGTTTAGATCTCTACTAGTTCCAATCATTTATATAGAGGAATGTCGATAAATTTGAATTAAATAATAGGTCTCTAACGAGTTAAAACAAATATTAAATGTATATAATGACAATACAAGTGGGTGCTTGCTGATTTAACAGCAGAATTTATAAAACTTACAACATTTACGAACAGAAAAAAAAAAACTTTCTGTTTATTTTTTGTATTAACTTTATGTATTAAAATAATAGATCCATAAATAAAAACAAAAATACAAGACATATCAACTTGCCACAACATATTCGAATCTTATTAAGGAAAAAACGCAGAGCAAGATCGAAGTGGCATAGGACTAGATATCCTACAGATAAAACCTACTGTAACAAATTGACTAACAAACTAAAAGTAAAAATTAGAAAATTCAAAACACAAAAATTACTTAACTGACTGAAAATCTTACAAAGACCGACAAATCACAATGAACGACCAACAAAAAGCTTTTGAAGTTTAAAGACTTTAATCACCTACTACTTACTGAATCCCAAACCTGGTCCAAATCAGACAAAGAAAAATCTCAAATATTTGGTCAACATCTCTTCCAAACTTTCAATCCTCATCCTGATATCCTTAATTTAATTCACCTGGAATGTATTGAATTGATGAATTGAGGCAGAACTGGATACTCCTCTCCAAATGTCCCTTCCACCTAAAGCATTTCATCCCACAGAAATATCCAACACCATTCACAGATTACCTTCACTCAAACTCCTGGATATGACTTTATCAAATCTTAAAAATTTTTCCTCGGAAAGCCATCCTATTCCTTACTTATATATACAATGTTATGCTCCGATCCACATATTTCCCTGATCCTTGGAAACTATCAATGACAAAATGATCCACAAACCCAAAAATAATACCCATCCTCCTACCATCCTATCTCTCTTTTACCAATCATGGGCAAAATCCTGGAAAAACTCATTTTAAAATTACTGTACCCCATCCTAGATTCTAATAATATAATCCCTGATCACCAATTTGGATTCCGCATATCCCATTCCACTATCCAGCAATATCATCGTGTGGTAGATGTAGTCTCTTCTGCATTGGAGCTCAAAATGTAATGTACGGGAGTCTTTCTCGACATTGAACAGGCGTTTGATAGAGTCTGGCACCTGGGACTGCTGTACAACCTCTGTAAATTCCTACCACCTACATACTTCCTAATTATCCGTTCATACCTTATTGATCGATACTTCAAAGTAAATCATAACAATGCATGTTTATCCCTCTTTTCCCAGTTTCTTGGTGTTTCTCAAGGGAGCATCCTCGGTCCTATCCTTTATACAGCTTATATCCCAACACGGTCATCACCTCCTATGCAGATGACACTTGTATCCTATCTGTTAATAATGAACCTTTAATTGCATCCCAAACGATTCGATGTAGACCCAACTCAACTTCTGCGGGGAAACATTGGGCGCATTGGTTCAAGAATTTCGAAAACTTTATTGCCGCTGTCAATGCTGCAGGAGACAAACTGAAGCTTTTATTTAACTACATATCTCCTGACGTTTACCAACACGTAAGTCATGCTAGTAAATATGTTGAGCAATAATAATTTTGAAGGGACTCTATGTAAAACCAATCAACTAAAAATTTTCATGCTATAAGTTAAATACTCGCTCACAACAACCTATCAACGAATCCGTTGATCAATACATAGAGGCCCTTAGGCTTTTAGGGAAAGAATGTAGTTTTATTTCAGTTACAGCTGAAACTTATTGCGATGACATTATTGGAGACTCGTTTATAAACGGCCTACAATCAAATTTCATCCGCCAGTGTCTGCTTGAGAGTACCAAGCTAACATTAAAGGCAGCTCACTAACAAGCTCGAGCCTTTGAGTTAGCTCAAGTTCAGGTAAAGTCTTATCAGAGAACAAAATGAGGGTGCTACACCTCATTATATTAGGGAACAAAATACAACCTTAGCTGCAACTTCTGTCAAATGTTATTTTTGTGATTTTAATAAATATACTCGCAGCAAATGTCCTGCGAGGGATACTATCTGTAATCGTTGTTCGAAAAAGGCTCATTATTCTAAAGTTTGTACTACATCTGAGAAAAGAACTACTAAACCCTTCTGGTTTAGTTACACACAGCTTGACGAAGGCAACATCTTAAGCTGTTGTTAATGATTCAGAGGTTTGTGTATTGATTGACACTGGAATCTCCATCAGTTTCATTAGCGAAAAATCCGCCTTCATGTTAAATCTAAAGATTAAGCCATTCAATGAGAAAATTTCAAGGCATCTGCTTCTCTCCATTCTAGAACTTGTGGTCAATGTGTAGTTGACATTAACATGTTAGGTCACTATTATAAAGATGTTAGACTGTCTGTTCTTCCTGACCTATGAGCTGATGTGGTCATTGGTCATGATATACTCAAGCAGCACGGAAGTGTGAACCTGTCCTTTGGCAGCACTAAAGCAATGCTCACTGTACATGGTCTCATTGTAGCAAATTTTCCAAACGCCTCACTCTTTGAATATTTTTTACTGGATTGTAAACCAATAGCAATAAAATCACATCAACAAACTAAAAATGATTCAAAATTTATAGAAGCTGAAATCGAACACCTAACTGTTAATGTGTTTGAACCGAGTATATCTCCTTGGAGAGCTCAAATACTTGTTACCTTAGGTATAACTGTTTATTGTCGCACAATAAACAGTTATACCCTCCTGGACACATATCCACTTCCTCGAATAAAGTCCTTAGTAAATAAGATCATCCATTATGAAGTACTTAGTACCATCAACCTACGCAATGCTTATCATCAAAGTCCTATAAAAGACGAAAACAAGCCCTATACTGCTTTTGAAGCGTGTAGTTGACTATTCCAATTCAAAAGGGTTCCATTTGGGGAAACCAATGGTGTTGCCTCATTCCAAAGAGTGATGGATAACATATTTACAAAGAGGGCTTGAAGGATATATTTGCATATATTGACGATGTCACAGTCTGTGGAAGAGATCAAAGAAAACATCCTCTTGTAGAGGATCAGATTTAGAATGGTGAATAAACTGTTTTAAGAAAACAGGCTCCGAGTTCATTAGCTAGCTGGGAACTGATTCTTCATTCCCTATACGTCTGGGATGATTGAACATCCTTTCATGCGGTGTCTCATTAGTTGCTGTACATAATAGAGAACGCACAGAATGTTGAGCCTCAGGTAAAACTGATTCAAATTTAGTTACATGAAAGTGTTTAGACTTGAGCGCAAGTAGTATTGTCTTCCAGATAATTCCATTGTACCTTTCAACTTGGCCGTTATCTTGTGGATTGTAAGGAGTTGATCTACCGGATGCGACCCCATTAGATAAGAGGAATGTTTTTAATTCCTGTGAAATTAGCGATGTACCTCTATCTGAATGGATGTACACAGGAGCACCAAAAAAGTAGAACAGTTGTGTTAAAGCAGCTATCACATCAGATGACGTCATGTCTCCACAAGGGGAATCGAGAGTATTCAAGTAACCCTATTGGATGGTAATGCTGAATATCCTCATATTCGCTGTCCAGACAGAAGGGAAACAACGGTATCGACCAGATATCTTGCTCCTATTGGGAGCAACAGAAATTTTACCGTATATGACGAGGAGATAGATAGCAATTGATGGACACGTATCGTCACTGAAGCGGAGGAACACGTCAGACCTGATTCAGTAGTCATACTATCTGTTCAGGAAGATGACTTCTATGGGTCTAATGTGCAAAACAAATACCAAGGACAAGCAGTGGACAACCCTTCAGAGAAAAGCCCTCTACCACGAGCTAGTTCAAGAACTAGATCTACCTCATACTTAAAAGACTATGTTACCTTATAAACAAATTAGGTGGGATGAATATTATGAATTTAAATTAACATATGGTTTAAAACATCATAATTCATTAATATTGTTGTATTATATGAGTTGAATAAAACCTAATGTTGAAGGTATTATTTATTCCATTTCATGCAATAAAACTATAAACACATAGATCAGAAGCTGTAGAGACAGAAAAACAAAATAAAGAGACCATATACCGACTATGGGGTGATATAAAGGGGTAAATTTTAAATCAATAACACAATTTTTTTTTCTCAATCTTCCGTAACTTTCGATCACACTCCCTGAGTGAGAGAGAATCATTCAAAACCTCTGTACTCTCCTTATCAATAATTTTTAGTTTATTATAAAAATAGTTTTCAGTTTTGATATTACAAAAGATACTGCCAGTTTTAATAATAATCAGTAGTTTCTTGATATTTTTTCATATATAAATAATTAATAAATATAAATTAAACCAAATGTTGTAAAACAAAATAACTCATACCTACCTAATAACTGTTATATCAAAATCACGATGGAATTAGTGATTCCCTAAAAAAAAAATCTAGCCCAATAACTTTGATCTTTCTTTTGGAGAATCCTAGTAATCTCACCATTCTTCTACCACCAAAAAGGCAAAATGCAGAAATATAAAGCCAAATAACTTACTTTGCAAAGTGCAGAACGAAAAGGAAAAACAAAAAAGATTGAAGAAAAAATCATTGTGGTCTATTGTATAAGTTATTTTAGAAGAAACATTAAGTTGAACATTAAATGAAAAAAATTATGATGTAGTTCAATTTTAGTAATTAATAGTAGTGATTAGTTACTTTACAGTTTCGGCTTGTTTAATTGTCGTTGGGTTAAAATCGTAAAAAGATTGTTTTATAATGAAACAAGAATTATTCATATTATTGATTAAAATTACTACAGATGAAACTGGAAGTATTTCAACTGAAAGGAACCAATATGGTCTACATACATAAACATTAACTCAATAATTTACTTTTGTCTTATAAATCATTGCAAAAAAACATTATAATAAAGATAATTTGTTTAAATCATACACATGTCATTAATTAACAATTAATAAAAGTAAAGATGACAAGTTAAAAAAATTAACGGAAAAAAGATGACACGAGTTATTCTTCATGGCTTGGCTCATTTTTTCTCATTCCAACTCTTTTTTATTTTACCAATAGGGTGAGCTTAAAGAACAGCACTCGATCATTAGTTTTACACAATTAAATGATACATTTTGAATATTACACTGATCAGATCAAATAAAGATGATTATATCCCCAGCAATGTACATAGCTCCTATAGCTGAACTATTGCTCTAATCTTGGTATCTCTTAGTCAACTACAGGCTAACAAGTATTAAAAGCTCCATCCTCTCCCTCTGCCTCAAAAAACATACTGCATTATTTATAGTTTGAATCAATAAAATAAAATTTTATTTATTTTGATAGTCAGTAGGAATGGAATTATTATGGTATTTGATATTTAATATTGTTTATTACAAGACTCTTAATTAGATATATAAATTGTGCAAAGCATAGCAGAAAAATAAATATTATTTACCTTTTTTACACCATCGTTTAAAGATAAGACGGATAATCCGTTAAAGAAATCAACTTTGTCAACCGATTCATAGGGAAAACTTTCTCGAGCAAAAAAGTTCCACATGTCATAAATAATGAATGTGAACTACTAATTCTGTCAAATTGAAACTTTTGAAAGAAGGCACATATCAGCCAGTGATTGACTAAGGAATCACCAAAGAGCTCATAAAACATAATGATGAACTTCAGATAATTCAAAATGGTCTAAAAACTCTGCTCAGATTACCCATCAATTATTCGGATTATGAGTAAATGAAATCTGATAAGTCTAATTAAGAATGTATGATTTAATTCATAACATTTATTAAACATATAATATTTTTACTTAATGAAATTTAAACTAAAAAAAAGTTTCAAACTAGAGGATGTCTTATACTGCGATTATCAATGGTTCGTTATCATAATATTCGAATCACGGTGCTATTTGGCAATTTAAATGATTACATTTTAAGTGAAGTTGGACATACTCCAATCATCACAAAAAAGAAATCGAACCAGGTATTCAAGTAGAAAACTTTCAGTTATATGAAAACTAGTATTTATAGATATGTATGTTCTAATTGAATTAGTTCAAAAGAACTATTCAACAAAAAAAGGTCGATGAACGGATTTAAATTCAGATAGTTCACAGTTCAAGGACAAGGATGTGCAATGTATACCTTGGCCATTTACTGAAAACCGAGCTGTGAAAAAATGGGGGTACATGGAGAGAATGGTAGAGTGGAAAAGTTTGGAGACGACCTTTACTCACTATCCTAAGGTATCACTCTACTTATCGTGCGGAGGATTTTTCTCTCAAATGTTTCAATCCTTTTTTATAGGGTACTGGTTAGTGACCAGGTCTCACAGCCATATACTAGAACTGGCTTTAGCCAAGCATTGAACACACTTAATTTGAGATTTCTTGAGATTTTTATACTTTTGAAAGGGAGAATAAAGCTCTGCACTAGTTATAAGCTCGTCTATTTCTGCCCGTTGGTTCATTGAGGTTATTGTGGAGCCTAAGTATTTGATTGATTGAGGTAGGTAATTGAATTTTTCTACTCTCGGGAATGATTTTCCTTCTACGCAGATCCTGTTATTGGGCTGTACATTTCGGCTTATTATCATATAGTTTGTTTTGTCTTCATTTACTTGTAGGCCGATCTGTTTTGCCTCTCTTATCAGAGTCTTAGCGAGTTTCTCAATGTACTCTTGGTTACTTCCAAGGACAGCTATATCATCTGCGTATCCAAGGATTTCATGATACATTCCGACGTGGACCCCTCCACTTTCCTGTGATATTGTTCTTATTACCTTCTCCAGAGGGGTTAGTTGAAGGGGTTAGTTGAACAACATTGGTGATAGTCCATCTATCTGCCGTAAGCCCGTGAAGGTTTGAGATACTTCTTGTATTAGAATTCTACATTTAGGGAAATTTGTACAAGCCTTTGTCAATCTCACCAACTTACCGAGAATTCCCAGTTTAGTCATTATTTTCCAATGACAGTTCCTGTCCACAGAATCATAGGCTGCTTTGAACACAATTGGTCGTTTTTCGAGTATATCGAAAACATCGTTTTTCGAGTACTTGTTTTAGGAAGAAGTTCTGGTCTACGTGCTCCTCCGTTTTCTGAATCCAGCTTAGTGGTCGTCTATCATATTTTAGTAATACGGATATTATCTTGTAGGCAACCGGAAGGAGTGCTATGCCTTTGTAATTATTACACTCATACAAGGGGACCTTTCTTTAGGATAGGACCGATTAGGCCCGTATTCCAAGCCTCATGTACCCTTTCCCCTTTCTGGATTAGTTGTAGTAGCTTGACCCTTGAGTAGTCTCCCCCATCTTTAAACAGTTCTGATGGTACTTTGTCTATCCCTGGGGCCTTTCTTGCTTTAAGCCTTTCGATAGCTATTTCTACATCCAGTATATCTGGTTTTCAACCTCCTCTTTTTCATGGTCCTCAATGTGGCCCATATTTTCTTTGTTCCTGGGGCTCCCTTGATTGAGAAGGTTTAAATGTTTAAACGGCACTAACACGGCGTCCTTTTGTTCTAGATATATTGTAGTTCTGGCAATAGCCAGATGAATTACTCAAGACATGAGTATATGTAGCTACAACGTTCTCCTCAATCTCCACTGCCTTTAGTAACATTAAAGCGGTTGATAGGCAGTAATTTAAAATAATAATAATCTCCATTTCAAGATTACGCCGCTGCATCACGATTAATTAGGCTTTTTTTTGGATTTTTACAATAAAAAGTTTCATCAATATGTTTTCGAGTATGAATAAATAACTATTATGAAGCTAAGGTTAAGTTAACAACAAAACACAAAGTAAAAAGTTGAAAAAGAAAATGGTTACAAATTTAACCTACCATTTATAGATTTTTCAGCAAATTATTCAAAATTCGGATCTTACAATTTTGTAAGAGAATACCACAATATTAGAAAAGAAAACTAAAATTATATTTAAAAATTATAAAATAGATATTTTATTTATTTCGGCTGAAAAATGAATTAATCCTAAGTATTTTTTTTTTAAATTCAAAGGAAAACTCAAAAACACCTAAACTAACCGAGACACAGTGGCGTAATCTTAAAATTGAGATCTTTTTCGACATCTAAGGTGCTATCTTAAATTGGAGGTCATTTTCAAAATCTACGGCTCCGGAAACATAAGAATACATCTTTATATCGAATAAACCCGAAAAACTTAAAAAAGACGAAACACAGTTCCGTAATCAAAAATGGAGGTCATTTTCAAAATCTATGGCTCCGGAAACACAATACACCCTTATATGGAAAAAACTTAAAAAAGTCGAAACGCAGTGGCGTAATACAGGACCCATACATCGAAAAATTTAAAATAAATAAAAAAAGGTTTAGTTTGAAATGGAATAGGTTTAATTTGAAATAGAAAGGGTCGATTTTGACTTGGAAATGCTATATATATACGTTACTGATTGAAACGTAAATTAAAAATTTTATTGTAATTAATCTATAAATATATTATATATTATATATTATTATTATATATTAATCTATAAATATCCTCGCGGGGGCTCATTACCGCGTATGGGGATCGTCCCACGGGTGGCGATGTGGGGATGGTCGGTGGAATTCCTTGGAAGTTCCTCCCGGCTAAGTCCGATGGACTCGCTGACCAACAATGAGAGGGGCCCTCCAGACTTGCTGGAGGGAGGGGACCTCCAGACTTGCTGGAGGTAGGGGCCCACCAGACTTGCTGGAGGGTGTGACGTAGGATTGAACGCCCTACTCACATATCTTTAGTTCACCAAACACCACAAAAGTCATGGATCTCCCTAAGGTAAAACGCTCATTATCCGGGTAAACTAGTCCCCCGTTCGGGTCTCCGGGTGGGGACTGCTTTAGGGGATTCATGGCGCAAGTTGAAATATAGGGATTTAAATATTGGTACGTGGAACGTAAGGAGTTTAAACACAGCAGGGGGGCTAAAATCGGTCGCGAATGAGGTAAATGGGTACAATTTGGATGTCGTGGCTCTGCAAGAGGTTCGCTGGCCAGGGGAGGGCTCGATGAGGGAAGGAAAGTACACTATTTGGTACGGAGGAAGCGGGAATCATTGTTTAGGTACCGGGTTTCTAATTAGGAGTAGATTACTATCCGCTTTGAGGGACGTACAATTCTTTAGTGATAGAATTTCGGTAGCTACATTTCAGGGACGTTGGTTTAAAATCGCATTAATAAACATACATTGTCCGACCGAAGACAGTGACGATGAAGTCAAAAGTGAATTTTACGATAAACTCGAATGGGTTTATGATAAACTACCGCGAAACTACATGAAAATAATTGTAGGTGACGCGAACGCAAAGGTAGGAAGGGAAGAAGTTTATATTCCGACGATTGGTAAAGAAAGTTTGCACGAATATAGTAATGATAATGGGATCCGTCTGATAAACTTTGCCATCTCGAAAAACCTGATAATTAAAAGTACGACGTTTAAACATAAGGATATTCATAAATATACTTGGACATCACCGGATTCGCAAACACGAAATCAAATCGATCATGTCTTGATACAACATAGCTGGCAAAGCAGTATAATTAATGTACGGTCTTATCGCGGAGCAGAATGTGGGTCGGATCATGAATTAGTAATCGCGAAACTTCGACAAAAACTTAATATAAAAAAGAGAAAAGAAAACCGTTTCGATTTTGAGAATTTTAATTTGGAAAAATTAAAAAATCCATCAATTAGAAACCAATTCGAGCTAGATGTTAAGAATAGGTTTGAAGCTTTAGAGCTTCCTGACGAGGACCACGAGGATATTGACAAGTTATGGTAGAGATCAGGGATAATATTAAAGCGGTCGGTAACTCGTGTCTAGGAAAAAAGGAAAATCAGAATAACAAACCGTGGTTTGATGAAGATTGCTTAAACATGTGCGAAAAAAAAAAGCCGCTAAATTAAAAGCTCTAAATAATCCTAGCAAAGACAATCTGGAATACTTCCGAATCTCAAAGAACGAAACGACAAAATTGCTCAAAAATAAAAAAAGGGAGTATCTTAAAAATAAAATAATTGAAATAGAAACTAATAGAATCGAAAATAACGTAAGAGACATGTACAAAGGTATAAACAGATCACGTAAATATGTAGGGCCCGTAACGTCTGGAATTAGGGATGATAATAACAATATTCTGACCGATCCGGTTGACATATTGAATAAGTTTAAGGACCACTTTGACAATATTTTAAATACGGGAAATTATGATCTGTGTCCTCCTTCTGAGTACCAGAGTGCTGAACCGTTAATAGAAGGACCAAGTAAAGAGGAAGTTGAAGTAGCTATCGGAAAATTAAAATCATATAAAGCAGCGGGAATCGATAATATTCCTACTGAACTAATTAAGGCATGCGGGGAAGCTGGAGTTTCTAAAATACATCGGTTGGTTAAAAAGATCTGGGTGAACGAGAAATTACCTGAAGAATGGAAAGAATCTATTCTTATTCCGATTCACAAAAAGGGTCCGAGGACGGATTGTAATAACTATCGAGGAATTTCACTCCTTCCGGTATGTTATAAAATATT